ATTAAAATTTGTAGGATTGTCACACACTTTTCTTAAACTCTTGTAGTATGTTTTAGTAAAAATTTTCCATTTATTTTCTGCCTACCTGAAGCGCTATTGTCCATTCGGTGCGCCATTATACTAGCAATTGCTATATTTCGGGGGTTTAAATAAAAATGGCTGCGGTATTTTTGTTGGTAACAATGATGTAGAAATTAACCAGTGGCTAGTAGACTGTAATCTCGGTTATATCTCATTTGATGGAACGTAAACATGACCGAAAGCAGCACTCAATCACGCGCAATAATCTTGTAATTTTGAAAATGGACTCCCATTCTCCTAACTTATTGCAAAAAAAAATCTCTCAGTCGTCTGAATCAGCTACTAAAAGCGTTACCAAAACCGATCTAAAGATAGCCTAAACTTTGTGTTTGAATTTTATGGTTCATTGTCGAGGGAAACGCCACTGGGAGTAAACATTCTTAAAACTTTAGATGTACTTATCTCCATAGTAAAGAAACCCGTCGAGGGATTAAGCTGAAAGAAAGGAAAAAAGACGACCACAACAACAATCATCAATATTTCAGGCTTGGTAGTGAGCTTCTCTTTCTTCCCCCAGATGCGAGATGCTATTATAGGCCATGTGCGGAGAGGCAACTTACCGGGTAGTACATTCCCTGAGGAGGAAGAAAAAAAGCCCCGGCACCCCACAGTTTGGCTGCTTGTTAAAGTCCTCTACACATAAAATCACTGCACGAGGCAAAAATTCAGTTGGCACTGTTGTTTATTTCTCTTGTTGCAGCGGTCCACCTTCACGTCCAGTTTTGGCTTTGAATACTGAACAACGCCCGTTGTTCAGGGTGCCGTGGCTCAACTACCCCGGCGGCCGTGGCGGAGGGGCACATGCTAGTGTCTAGGTGGGGACGATCAATGAACGAGACGAGGAGCGCGCGCAGACCATCTTCTGGACGCATCCTCCCGGTGGAAGGGAGATGGAGAGATGGTGGGCGCCTCCTCGGAGGCCTCGCCAACATAACCTCTCGAAAACTCAATTTCATTTTGGAAAATCGAAGACGCCCCACCTAGACACCCTCTAATTCAATTCAATCTTTGGCGTTTTTTGCCAAGGATTTTGGGAGGTGCCGCCAGTGACCGGTGATTAAATGGAGTAATTGCTTTCAACCGTGGTGGATGTGCGCAATATGTTCATACTTTTCGAAATGGGAAAAATGAACACTCATCCTTTTAATTTTATGGAAGGAATTAAAGTTTTCTTATTAAGTTAATTACTAATCGTACTGACAGCTTTTCCGTAACGGCGAGAATAAAACACAAAATTACCGAAGTTTTGTGGTTTTAGCAAACGTAAATTCGAAAATTCGGTCACCAAATGACCCTCACAGAGAGTAAGTTCTTTCACCCTAATTTCAGAAAGGAAAGTGAACAATTACTCCACAGAGAGGGAAATAAAAATTTTACCGCCCTCATTTGTCTAGCAGTACTAATTGGATTGAAAAGTTGATATTTTATATAAAATTGATTACATAGGCTATTCAAATAAAATTTTCAAGCTTAAATTTTAAGTAAAAGTATTGGATTAGTACTAAAAAAGTTTTATTTTCACAAAATTAGCTATTTTAAATTTTTAAAATCAACGATTTTTTAAAGTTATAAGAATTAAGCAAAATCGCTCAAAATTACAATAAAAATACAGGGTTATTCACGGGAGGGTTATTTCTGAATTTTTTTTTGCCGCAACCAACAATACCAATCTCACAAACTACTAAATTAAATATGTTATTTCTTTAAAATTACAAATCAAAGTAAGTTGGATAAATTTGCCAGAAATGTCAGATTGACAGATAACCTATATTTAATCAAAATTCAACATATAAATTAACAAGTTAAGTTAATATAAAAGGTGTTTAAAGTGTCTACCATCGACTTCTAAACATGCGCCTAGTCGGTTGGTAAATATAACAAAACATGTCGCATCGTTTGAGAGATATTTTTTTTACTATAATGTCACAGAGACAAGACTAATAACAGCTATCGTGGATTTAGTTATAATTATTTTCAAAATTTGAAATCAAGAAATTGTTGCAATATGTATAATGGGTTGCGGCAAAAACAAATTCAGAAATAACCCTTTCGTGACTAACCTTGTATATACAGGCTGGATTATAAAAACCCACCAACCCATTACTGCATTATTTTATTGTTTATTATTATTTTTGGATTCCTCGTAAATTGTCATCAACAAGCTCACTAACTATTATTTATCAATAACTATAAGACAATATAAACATTAAATTAAGTAGACTGAAAAAAATATTCATTTTATCTAACACGGGCAAACGACTGATAACAAAAAACTGTTCAACTTTGATTAAAGAATTATGTAACGCCTTTAAAAGTACATACCTAATGGCTTGAGGTATTTTTTATAATCCAGCCTCAGGTAAGTAAAATTTTTACCTCTTCCATAGAAAAGAAAAACATACTGCTAGATTTAATGGCGAAACTGAGATATCAAAAGAAATTGTTTTGAAGTTTTTCTTGTTAAAATTATATGTATTACACTGCAGGAAAGTGTCTTTTCCTCCCTTGGTGGTTCCACCTGTGGGAGGAAAAGATACATTTTATCACCTCCATTTATTCTGGCACGTTATTTATGATGAAAAGCATGAATCTTATCACTCAGCTTGAAATTTCGTTGTAAAAATATAGTCAAATATATTTTAGAAGACAAGCAGTCTGAATGGAAATGTGCTTGAAAAACAGCTTTTTCGCACAGTACACTTCACTTTTTCGTTATCTTTATTTCATTTCAATTTTTTTGTTTGATGGTCCAACTGTATTTTATGCGAGGATGAGCTGTGATAACGCTTTCTTATTGACAAGATATCTTCATAAAAGTATTATTCATGCTCGTCCCCCACATAACTTTTAGAAAAAAATCTAATAACATGATCAATTCAACAATAATTGGTAATAAAATTATTTATTCATAGAATTAACTTTTTGATAACAAAATACTTCAAGTAGTAAAATATAATTATTCTTCAAAAAAAAACAGCATTTTTTCACATATAAAATTTAGCTAATTTTATAAAACACCTGCTATTGATCAGTAAAGTTCAAAAGTCACTTAATAAGACTAAAAATTGCTTTTTGAACATTAAATAACACCTTTGATAGAATAAAATCATCTGGATTTGATGTAAAAACATTTATTAATGTACATTTACAAACATCCAGGTGAAAATTTTACCTCTTGTTATATTACTCTAGACCGTTGAATATAAAGTTTTACACTGACTTCAAGCATCCACAAAGTAATTTTTTATTCAAACCATGGTCTTAAAAGAAATTTATGACTACTTTTGAATTTTTRAAGAAGGTTTTCACTTCTATTTGCTACTCTGTAGCAACTTCTGCTCATTTTTTCTTAAAAGACAGGTAACMTATTGTAGTTTTATTAAAAAWAATATTATTACTGCACTATTTGTCTCAAGTAATAAAAAAATCAATTGCTTTCTACATTTTTTATAAAGTATCTGAAATGAAAGCWGCGAATCAACCCTCATTTCTACTTAAACAGGTTCATTTTTAGTTTAAGATATCGCATGCCTTATTAATAAAATGAAAATTACGAGCGTGTTAAAATTTCTGATGTAACTGTATGAATTTTTATTAAGTTTTACCAACCAAGCAAAGTTAATTGGATCACTGTTGACACATTTTTCTCTAATCAAGATTTACGAGATTTTCTCATTAGCGCAAGATTAAGAATGTTTTGTTAAGTAAGCAATATTTACACTATTATTAATAACTATAAAAATGAGCGGCTTTTCCCCTGTAATAGGTCATCCGCACTGCAATTTTATTTCCGTTAACATACTTTTGTTTGTATGATTGTATGTAAAGCTGTTAGATATGTATCTAATATACTTTTTAATGGTGTTCTAAGCAGTACTCAACTGTGTCATTATTAAGACTTCTATCTTATTATCGCGACTTCAGCTTCTGGCGTTTACAGTTAAAAAAATAATTGTAACATTGACCATTATTTATGCAGAGCATCTACTAAAATGTAAAAAAAAAACATTCACCGTTATTTCGCCTAGACAAGGAACTTCTTTTTGGTCCATAAAAACCTTTTTTTCTGAAATCGTCCGTATTTAGTAACCCAAAATAGTCCGTAAATGACTCTTGTCATTAATTGAAAAACTCTTAGTTTGTAAAACTAATTATTTAGATAGTCCGTAAAGTGTGCATGTTGAATGCAATGTTTTTTTACACAATTTAAAGAAAAAATCACTAAAGTTATATGTATTTATATTCATGTGGTTATGGCAAAACTCCATTTTGTGAGCAAAAAAAATCAACTTTTGAGCCTTGTTATGTAAATACCCGTTGAATTGGCAAAAATCGGCGCAAGACTGGACTTTTTGAATGTTATCAAAAACCATATTAAAATTAACAAAAATAAACGAAAGATTTCAATATTATCATTAAATCAGGGGTGATTCTACCATAGAAGACGTATAAATATAAAAAATCTGTTTATTTTTGGTGATTTTAATGCTTCCATCGGTGGAAATCACCAGTCTCAATAATTGCAATGTGCATGGATGGTTGCAGATTTTTCTTACAATATGCAATAGGAGATTATTAGTAATTATTATTTTAAATTTGTAATTCTAGGAAGTTTGCATCATTTCCGTTGCGCGAAAATTTCCTGCGGAAAATCAAAACTTTTACTAAGGTGTAGCATTTTCATTTACAAAAAGGACAATAAACACAACTTACACAATATACTTAAAAAATTGGAAAAACTTTTATCTCCTGTTTCCGCAACGTGCATATGAAGAAAAATGAGCGACATTTCGTTAAATCGTATCATACCCAAATGCATTCATTAAGTTGTTCCCATTCTGCATTAATTTCAGCTCTTAGCCGTTCCAAATAATTTGGATAAAATCTCCCAACAACAATTTTGTTGATCATTATTAACACCAAACTATAATAAAATTTCAAAACGGCCATGAAAACAAAAATGAGGCGACCTCAGACAATCCAATCACAGCAATTAGTGGAATTGTTCAAGTAGGCGCTTGTCAAAGTAAAGCAAATTTGAAGTTTTGTTTACATCGACGCCTACTTCAAGACAACAAACATTAATTCCCCATAAAAGTGATAACCGAACACAAATAGGTGTTAATATTTTACAAAATGCGGGATATTATCTCCGTACACGCAAGTAAACAATAGTGTTATTCATTCGGCGGCATCCAATGCTACAGGTGCGCCAAGAAGAAAGAACTGGAAAGTGACCACAACCGGTTTGATGGGTTAAATAACGCCAAAATTTCATAACTGTGAAATTCCACCCCGGTTTATGTGAAGAAATCAAAGCTATCTAACGCAAACAATTGACGAGTTTGACAGAAGGTTACTAACCGTCACAGCATGCTTTGTTCTGAAACAATCGACAATCGATCTGTCACTTACCTTGGCGAATAATTGCTGCTTTGATTGACTGTTTTCGAAATGATTCTGATTGATTCGGATCACAATTTTCGCGTTGGCATCACTCGAATCAGCAAGTGGTTGGCGCGATGTACGACACAAATAATTGATCGAGAGCGATGGAGAATTTGTTGTTAGAAAGAAATGAAGACGACAGGTATCAGGTTTAGAGAGAGATAGACGTAAAAATAAAATGCGCGCGCAGAATCACCCTTTCAAATTTCTATATTGATTTGTTTCAGGGCAAATTTCCCAAAAAAGACCTGACATGATCATTGCATTGTTTACAACGGTTGTAATAAGTTTGGGTTTTGCACAGAAAGTGACTTACACCTTCCCCGAATTTCCATACAAAGAGACCAACAAAAATGTAAATCCCAACCAAAATCACCAATTTTGTAATAGCACAATTCCAGGAGGTGATGTTCAGGGAGGTGGAGGCCGCGTGCGAAAGGGGCTGTTTGGGTAGAACAGGCGTTTCCAAAGTTCTATGTATACGACAGTGTGTCTCTCCTTCTTGTTACCGTGACTTGTACCAGGCCGATCAGGTAAACATGTCACTTTTTTCTCTCACTTAACACAAAAGTGTGTTTCAGTTGGAAGAAGGAGAAGTTGATGTAAGACTGAACTCATTTAAAGGCTGTTTTATTCAACGATACAACAGATCTCGCCCATGACCTGGCTAACATCAATATAATTGTAACAATACAACATTTATATTTTACAGTTGACATGACAGAGCTTCCCACTAAAAGGGCACGCAAATGAACGCATCTCCAAATCAAAACACTAAAATATATTGCTTTGCGTATTTGTATCCGACATTTTTCCTAACACCCTTCTAGTTAGAAACCCTCCTGATACGGAACAAGTTATACACTTTTAGTATGAGATGTGAAAGACTAATAAAAAGATAATACATAATGGTTTTTCGCATACATTAACCAGTCGTCAATTTTAAATCAGGATTTAACCCGTTTTTTAATACTATATTTTACAACAAACATAAAAACTGATCTCTTTTATTGCTCGTTGCAACAATATTATTAATGAATTGTAACCACGTTTGGATTACTATTTGAAGGCAATTATTCACAAATCGTTTACTTCAACGTTAGTCACCGAGTACTAAGATACCACTATGTACGTAATGAAAATTAATGAAACTATTACCTGACAGTTTATAACAGATGTGGAATGAACAATTTACGCAGACAAAAAATTTTAGTTATATTTTTTAATGTGTTACTATAAAAGGTCTCTCGTGAAACAGCAATTATTTGCTGAAATCAGTGTTCAATAGCACTTTACCGTTATTTGTTATGATAAACTTCCTCAGTGGTCGCATTCCACCGTAACGATTTTCGCAATTAACGTGTTTGTGAATTCTCCAAACATACAGTTGGAACTTTCACGATTGGAATACAGTCAAAGGACAACATTTTTACTTTCACTTCAATTAAGATAAGACTTTTAATGCTATCTTATTTGTTTACTTCCACAAATATAAAAAACGTCGATAAAAATTTCATTACGATATTTAGCATCACTAAATAGTGTAAGTAAAATAATTACACATAACGTGACAAATTCCGATTTGCAAAACAAATTACGACTTATCACAATAACAAAAATGTAAATGAAAACACGATCGACGTTTTTTCAAGTAATGCAACATTTGAATTACACTTCCGTAACTTTTTTTACTACTTATCTAGACCTCTTATAGTAACATGTAGGTTTTAATGGTGTTTTTTTAATTAAATTTTGACGCAGTTCACTTGAAACATTCCTCACACCACAGTTTAACTCCAACCAACGTTAATAAAAATTTGTCCTCTTCAAAATCTCTAATCAACACCTAAAAAAACTGGTAACCAACAAAACAACTGATAACATAGATAACACATCAAATAAGTATTTCGTGTAAAAACTTATAAGTTAACTAGTAAAAAGTTATTGTACCTATAAAAAAACATTTCGTCATGTTTAATCAATAAATAAAAATAAAATTTCCAACCCGAATATTTAAGAAAATAAAATATCATTTATGCTATTGAAAATGCTAGAATTAAGTAAATTCGCTAACACCTACTCTCCGAAACTATTGCTTGTGTCAAGTCCTCTTTGGTGCATGAAACCCCCAACAAATGCCTCCCTTGTGACATTCATACTTTAAAAAATATATTTGGTTGATTAGTACGCCCTAAGCTAAACAACACCTATATCAACTTCATTGTATACCTTGTTAGAAAAAATAAATCAATTTAAAAACTCTGTTGTTTCTTAAACCGCACTGACGTGCACAGCATGGTTAAAGTCTGTGGAAGGTGACTCCGCTGCTGACTCTCCCCCCGCATTCTGCATTTCAACTTGATCCCCACTTTGTGGATTCTTCGCTTTGTGTTTTTTCCCTAAGCCGGGCAATTTAGGCAAATGCTTGAGTGCGCTAACTGACCCTCTCGGCTTGCTTTTATCGGCCTCTTCCTGCTCCTCGGTTATAGAATCTAAAGGAGCCTCCGTCTGGTGCTCATCCTGGATTGGTATATCATCTGCACATAATCACCAATGCAAAGTCCATATATTTCGATCAAATCATGCCATTGAAATAAAGCAAATTATCTTCATACATACCAGGTAGTTTCTTAGTTCGAAATGAGGCGTTTGTGATCATTGATTTCGAAATGCTGTGACTGTGGGAAGGTCGAGGGGTCACAGAGACGGACGACGAGCGTTGGATCAAATTTTTGATCGCGTTTGCAGACAACAACACGTCTGAAAATTACGATTATTCGAAATAATGATCGATTTGCACTCACCGGCAAATGCCTCGTATTTTGCCCGTTGGGTGATGTCATGAAGGGCTTGGATCGCCCCACTGACACCCTTCTCAGCCCCGTGATACACTATGTGAAGTAGTTCTAAAAGTAACGGACTAGAGACGGGAATGCGAGGAGCTATACCTTGGCTATAACTACAATCACTATTTATTGAACTTCTTGCACTATCATTGGAAGAAAATCCTTGTGAAACTAATCTACATACAATAAGTTTAATCTTTAACTCGATGAGGGAAAGGGCAATTACCTAGATATCCCCCTACAAGTGTGTTCAATACCCTGGGTTATTACACTAGCTAGTTGTTGGTTATATAGGAACACAAGTGCGGTGATAACACGTTGACGATTCTGAGCATTCAAACATTCGACTTGGGGCAGAGGCCCCCAACTGACTAATTTACTGTTGCATTCTTCCCACCGTCGCAACGAATTCTCGGCTATAAAAGCCGGTTCCAAATTGTTAGAATCGTGATAAATTGACGACTGAGCTATGCTTGGGACTCTAAATGAAAGTGTCCGGGGCTGGCCTTTAGAATCTATCACCTGCAAAGTACACTATAACAATGACCAAACTTGTCGATAAAAATACCTCCAAATTGTATAAACTAACTAAAAGTGTTTGTACCGAAGTATACGTTTTTTCAGTTAAATGCAAAAATACTAAAGTTGGAATATACTGCAGTGTGAACTTCTTCAGTTGTTCTTCACCTGATCTGTAAAAATCTAACAACTGTTGGCAAATACCGTCAACCAGCTGAAACAAATTTATTAAAAAAAAGGTAAAAAACACAATAATGCATACATTTTGCCCCTTATACCTATAGGGTTCTGTCAAAATGTCATAAAGTGCGACCATAACTTCGTGATTATGTTCTTGTTCTGATGAATAAGTGTGGATTTCGCTTTCAGTGAGCGACTCGAACTCCTCCATCCAATCCAAAACGAGAATATCTGCCATTATTGTCTCCTGTATTTGTTACGATAAGAAAATTAAGGGGTTGTAACTTTGAGGTTAGTTTTCGAAATCTATGTCATTGAATCCGGTTAAATACGCTTATGAATACACTAATGCGACTGCTTATTTAAGTACATCTTATCACTATTTGGCCCAATAATGCTTAAAAATAACAAATCGAATGGACTAAAACAAACTTGTCAAAAAGGGTGATTTATGGATGTAGTGAATTTTGATTATGTTGTTGGTGACCATTATTACCAACATAAAATGTGTGTTGCCTACTTTGAATGAAATTTGAAAAATCATACCATTGTCCGAAACATTTTTCGAGGTTTATTTGGCGTTGCCTCCCCGAAATTCACTTACACAAATCGTAAAACGATTAAATCGTGCGATTTATTATTTACATTTCCAAGAATAGACAATTTATAAAATATTAACTGCCTTGTCGAAGTCGATTTTTCAATATCATACCTACACGATTTGAAAAACCGAAAGTCACAAAACTAAATCAATTTATTTAATAAATAATTCATTCAAAGACCGCTGAGTATTAAATACATATTAGTTTTATTTATATGTTTTCGCATTTATGTTGCTCTACCAGACTACCAGAATCGCCGCTTCTTCAATACAAAAAATATAAAAAACACTCCTAAGTAGGTAGCAACTGGACAAATTTTATTACTTCCGATCCTTATAGATGAGTCTTTACTCCTTACTCATCCGATGGATTATCTGAGTTGAATGACTTATATAACTGCTTCGGTTTTTTCATTGCCGGAATCATCGAAATCTGTATCCAAACTGCCAGAAATAACTGAGTTTAAAGTAGTCTTTCTTACTCTTCAGTCGAATTATGGTCCTCCGGTCTTATAATAGGTGGCTTCTTGGATTTGAAGACTTCAGCCTGTTCTCGACTATAAAACTTTAAAATACATTTCTTCCATATACATACCAGGTGAATAAAAAGTATGGAACCAAACATTTTTTGCTTAAGTTATTTATTTTTTGAAAAAACTAATTGATGAGTGATAAAGTACTATAAAAATGTGATAATTTAACAAGAATAAAAATTTTCGAAATTTCCTTTTGTTTTTGAGTTCCACAAAAAAAAATATTTTTTTAAATGGCAACCCACTATAAAATCATTTTTCTCATAAAAGCTATACTCTAAGGATTACAACTATCCGCTTTATATTTAATTTTTTCAAAAAAAAATTGCATAAATTGCAAATTTTGACAAAAAAAATCGCATAACTCAAAAACAAAACAAAATTTCGTTCTGAAAATACGATCACATTTTTTATATTACTTTAATTTATATTAATTATTATTTGCTGGAAGCAAATGATTAAAAATAAAACCGCTTGGTTCCATACTTTATATTCACCCTGTATAATGTTTTGCAATTATTGGCAAAATAAATCGTGGCTTCACCATCTCCAATGTTAGTTTTGGACATTTTGCTTTGGATTGAACAAAGTTCATGTGTTAGTGCAGGTAATGTTTCGACACCACTAAAAAGATATGATAAAACTGGAACTTTTTAATACAAGCAAAAAATAATTGCAATAATTGGCGTAAATTGAAAATAATATATCTAGTGTGCAACATAAACCCATCATTAATTAAAATTTCCACATTACTTACCCATAACTATAGTCCATGTTGCTCAACAGTTACAGAAAGTTATTGTTGATAAAAAAAAAACAAAAAAATAAAGAATATTAGGACCCCATAGAAAACTATATCAACTGTTTCATAACAGCTTGAAAACAAGTAAGATCAACCCTGAAGCACGAATTCAAGTTTAAAAAACGAGTGGCGCTTCAAGCCAGTTTTTTATACTATTTTTTGTAATTTTTTAATATGTCTACTAGAGAAATGGAGGCAAATTACATAAAAAGATTAAAATATGTATTTGCAATGCTCTAGGGAGCAACAACAAACTTAACACTAATAACCAAGGAAAGTGTTTATAAAAACCCATCTATTTTAAAAGTTTTTTATTAAAAAAAAGTACACATGTATTCAACCTATTATGATAGCAACAATTATAGCCAAATAAAGCTGTAATCATTATTATCATCTTGTTAACTTATTTCGTATACGGGATGTCCCAATTTTTGTACAGAATATTTTAAATATTTTCTTTACCTCCCGGTGATATATACTACCACGTAGTGCCCCGTTAATACATTTTTTGGGACACCCTGTATAAAAAAGTAATAAGTAAAAATTTTAGGATTTGGCAAAACAAACTTAAAAAAAGATATTAACCAAAAATTGTAAAATCTACACATATTGTCTTTACTATAATTAAATTATTTCGTTAGAACATCATAAATTAAATTACTAAATATTTACAAGAGAAACAAAATAAAAACGTGCACAAGTAAGTTTACACCTTGATTACTTATCGGGACAGTAAGGAATCAAAGAGTCAAACAAAACCACTTACTAGAAATTCCGCTTGTAAAAAATAACTTAAATAATTAAACTAATACAACTTATCCATAGAGATTTCCCGGAAATTCCTGATCAGAAAGGACTTCATCTTGTTCATGATCCGATTCAGGATCTTTCCTCTTCCTCCCATAAGCCCTTTTACTCGTAACTGGAAGAGCATCAGACTCACCATGCAGCAAAGAATTCCGATAAAGCAACAACGGCTGCCAATCTTCACCTCTACTACTAGGCATTCCTGAAATAAACATTTACAAAACAAATCGTTTTATTAACTAAAACAAACCTGTAGTTATTCTACGATCTAAGAACGTCAAAACCACTCTTTTATCCTGCTTCAGCAATTTATTAGTAAACTCAGTCAAAATTTCCAAAAATGGTAAATTCGGTGGTGGGCCAGTGGGATCATCTGGTTGATCAGCCCCAGTCACAGCAAACAAAATCCCTGCCCGATGCAAGGCCGTTATTGCTTCTCGATTCTTAACGGCATCTAAACCAAACGAAAGCGCGAATCGTTTTGCCAATTCTTTCAATGCGAAAAATTCCTCATTCTGTCTCGTGCTTTTCCCCGTTGACAATTTTTGTACTTCATGGAAAATCATATTCAGACTCAAACACATGGTTAAGGCGCAGTTAACTTTATTAATTTCGCGTGCTTTGCTTAAGGTCGCTTTAATAATATCCCCGTATTCGTTGTAATACTTGACGTAATGTTTGAAAATATCTGCAGCGGTCTTAGTCGGCATTATATTATAAACGATTAGTTTACAATACGCAGCTAGGAAATTTCTCCGTTTGTGCAACTCCTCGATTCTGTGTTCGTCATGTTCTGCATTTTGTTCCGGAACGAAAACATAAGACTGGACAAATTCGTTCAAAAGCGATTGAAGGTTTCTATCTGGTTGACAGGTCAATTCGGCCAAAGAATTTGCCGTACTTGACAATTGTTCACTAAAAACAATCAACAAATCGCACAGACACACATAGGCCTCTTCTTTGATGCTATGATGCGGAGAACACCTAATTAAAACCTGTGCTGCTTCAATAAACTCGTCTAAACGTTGGCGCATCTCTTGAATTGCGGCTGCAGTCAAGCCTCCGCCCTCAAACTGGATCTCCAACCCCCTCAAACCCCACAAGAGACAGTAGAAACACGCACTGAGGCTGTATTTCAGAGCGTCAGGTGGGAGCACACTCTCGGAATCCTAAAATTAGTTAAAATAATATGACGAAATATGATTATGATAAAAAATATTACTTTGACGTCTTGGAAAAGAGTTGACCACAAATTCCACTGATTCAAGTTGTGACAAGCGTAAAACATTGACACCTTTTTCAATGAACTGACAACGTTGAAAATTTCGTCCGCATTTGGCGTTTCCTCTCCTAGTAATAAATTGCGCCAATCATCGATTGCCTCCTTGTAGGAGACCACGATCATGTCGACGATTGTTGATCTTGCGACGTCGCAACGAGTGTAAATTGAGTGGCCTTCGGTGCAGAGGATTTCGAGGGTCTTTGCCAGGGTTTCCAACACCTACAAGTAATAAAAACTAGTTATAGTTGGGCAAAAGTTTTATCCATTTAAAACTGTACTTTCCAGGAATATTTGTTGGCATGTATTATTTTGGAAACGTCTGACTTGGAAACTTCCCTAACCTTTTTTTAGATTTTCTTTAAATAGAAAAATAGACCTTATATTTTCATACGTCCACGCATCTCCTTTTCGTACTTTTAAATCATTTTTATCACCGTCTTTTCATTATTTGGTTTTGCAATAAGAGACACAAATTTTGAAACCAGATTTGGCAACCGCGCGCATGCGCGATAATTAAATGTTTTTCAAAACACTGAAATAATTTTTAAATCTCAATTAAAAAAAAGTTCACGATTGATTACCTACCTCTGGAAATTGGGGAAATGTGCTAAAAAAGTTCTTTCGATACGGTATTCGCAGCAACTCGCACAAAAAAAAAACAACACCGGTCTTTGCACAAAGATTATTTACGTCACCATTTTGCCTTTTTCAAATCACTAGTAACGTATACTTTCGTTTTTCTATCATTTTCGTTTGATTTTCTTGAAGACTGTGAGCCATATTGACGCGAAATGTCACCAACTGTCAGAAGTGTCAAATTGAATTATTGAAATCCAACGCACGCTTGGTTAAGGTTTTTTTTTAATTAAAATTTCTTCACTTTTAAGCCTTTTTTCTCTATAAAACTCTACTACTTTGTAGAATTATTATTGAATGTATCTCTTCCTTTTACCGTTTTCTACAGAGTGGTTATAAATGATTTTCATCTAGCCAGCTTTGGAATTTTTTGGCATGTAACTTTATTTGTGCCGCTCTACTTTTTTGAAAGCTCTAGTTCTGTCATTAGTGTCACTTATTAATTAATAATAAATTGTTGTTAATTAAACTTTTATTGTTTCAACTAATTTCCAATAATAATACTTTGGAAAAAAAACAAGTCTATAATTGAAGTCTATTTTCGAAGTGGACGCTTAGTAAACGGCGATTTTTTAAGTAGGTACCCCTATTTTCGTAAAGTAGCATTTTTTATTTTATAACCACTTTGTACTTTTAGTGCTTTTAATTTTAAATTAATTTTTACACGGGTTGAGAGCGTTAAAGCTATCATGTTTTAGAAAGGTAGGTAAGATAATTTGTAATCGAGTCATCTTTGGATTATTTGACGTTTCACAGACATACGTTTTCGGATCCAAGGATAACTCGATTACAATTTTTTTTGATCTCTCGATATATTAATTAGACAAAATGAATTTTTTAAAAAGAACTTACTTCCGGCTCATGATGCACCTGAGCGATGTGCTTCAACTTGACCAAAAGCGACTGCAACGAACCCTCTTGCCTGCCACTAGTATACAAATCCAGATCAAAATACTGCGGAATACTCAACAAATTGGCCAATTTCTCCGGATCGGCTGCATATTTATCCAAAAGCGGTGGCAAAGTCACAATGAAATGTTCCGTCAACTTTTGCTTATCCTCTCCAGCTTGTTTCATTTCTCGCAACGACGAAACCCTCCTCGTGGGCCCCCTTCCTACAGGAGCCTCCCCCGTAGCAGCTTGTTTTATACAACACACCATAATTTCAATCAAACTCGTCTCTTGTCGATTATCTAGAGGTTCCTCCTGTGGTCCCGGTTCCTCCAGCAATAAGTCAGTCATGCATTCCCAATCTTTCATCATACTGTTTGATTCAATAAGAGAGTCGACTAAGTAGGCCGCATGTTCGTGCAACTCCGACTCGATGAAAAACTGGACCAAATCTCGGATAAACGGCGTGTTTGGCAACCGCCGTTTGCCCCTTTTGGTTTTTCCAATGTCCACATCACCCGGTTGGAAAAGACGCTCGTTTAAAAATTCACCAGCGGCTTGAGCCACAGCTCGATGTGAGGAATAAACCAATTCGTACACATGTTCACAATCTTTGTCCGTTAAAATTTCATGATGATGTTTCAGGATGGAAATCACAAGTCGCACAGCTTGCACGGCCACGTCATACTCCTTATCCAGAGTCATTGCAACAATCCTGTCTTTGAACTTATTGGTAAACAACTCCAACTTGCCTTTCAACTCTTCACTCGCGTAGAGCGGTTGGAGGGCCTGGAGACACCTCAAGCGCACCTCGCCGACTTTATCGTGCAAGGTCCACCCTATGTATTTTAAATAGGAGTCGTCGAGAAAATTCGCGTGGAATTTGTGCATCCAAACGCCGATTTCCGTCATTGCTATTGCGCGGATTTCGGGTAAAGTGTCGCGATAACGATGGACAAAAACCGACTTAAACATGTACGTTAACATGTTCTTTATTTCGTCCATATTCTCTTCCAACTCTTGTCGCTTACCGAGGAGGGCTTCAAGACGGTCACTGGCGCGTTTCTCGCGTGTTTTTTGTCTTTCAGCTTCGTATTGGCGTTGTGTGTTGTCCAGATTCACGGAAACTGTTAAAGCAACGTCGACTAAGGCCGTCATCAGTTTCATTGCACCGAGAGTTGCAGTGTGTCTAAACGCACGGACCTGAAGTAAAAAACATTTTTTTTATTTGAGTTAGAGTTCATAGAAACCAAGAAGGATATCGACGCGCAGAGACGAAAACTAGTCGAATCCATTCATAAATATAGGAGAGTTCTGATATCAGGTGAGAGCAGTGGCGAGTATTCGCACTTATTTATTTGAAGAAAACAAATAATCCATATACTCTAATGAAAATATTTTATTACTTTATTAATAAATAACATTTTTAAGGCATTTGTTGTTTTATAAATTGCAATACTCAGTAACCATTTGAGAAAGGTATTAGAAATTGTTCAACAAGGTTCAAATTATTATTAAAATAAAGTCCATTTCCAAACCACAAGGGTGCTGCCTTTTGGATGTCCGAATAGGGAATCTCCGAAACTAAGAGGGTTAGCTAATAATATATAATAATAATATATTATAAATAATAAATAAAATACATAAAAAAAAATAAATAAATAAATAATAAATAAAAACGAGTTATACATTCTGAGGCTCATTTTTTGAGAAAATAATATTGGTTAAAACCGCATCCCGCTATCGTCTAATAAAAATTCATACAGTTACATCAGAAATTTTAACACGCTCGTAATTTTCATTTTATTAATAAGGCATGCGATATCTTAAACTAAAAATGAACCTGTTTAAGTAGAAATGAGGGTTGATTCGCWGCTTTCATTTCAGATACTTTATAAAAAATGTAGAAAGCAATTGATTTTTTTATTACTTGAGACAAATAGTGCAGTAATAATATTWTTTTTAATAAAACTACAATAKGTTACCTGTCTTTTAAGAAAAAATGAGCAGAAGTTGCTACAGAGTAGCAAATAGAAGTGAAAACCTTCTTYAAAAATTCAAAAGTAGTCATAAATTTCTTTTAAGACCATGGTTTGAATAAAAAATTACTTTGTGGATGCTTGAAGTCAGTGTAAAACTTTATATTCAACGGTCTAGAGTAATATAACAAGAGGTAAAATTTTCACCTGGATGTTTGCAAATGTACAGGGTGCTGCATTTTGGATGACCGAATGGGGAATCTCCGAAACTAAGAGGTTTAGCCAAAAACGAGTTATACATTCTGGGGCTCATTTTTTGAGAAAATAATATTGGTTAAAACCGCATCCCGCTATCGTCTTTTGTTTTCGACTTACAGACAAAAATTGACATTTTACCGAAATCTAAAAAAATTCATATCTTCGTTATTATAGAAGACACAGATTTGAAATAAATTCATTATACAGGCACTTTTTTACGTAGAATTTAATAATGTTAATAATTTTTTTCAGTTGTTCGTTTAGCCGTCATAAAATAAACTTGTATTTTTTTAAATGGGAATCATAGGCGGCTATGGAAATTTTGAAAAGCTTATTTTTTTTCTGATTTAAAAAATATATATTTGTAACAAAATATTTTTTTATAACTATACTTAAAAAGTGAAATACATATTTTGTGTGATAATAGTTGGTCATGGAAAAACTATTTCACTCCAAATATGTAAATAATAATCAATAAGAGTTTTGTGAACTGTAAAATATATGAAAATATAGATAAAATTATAAAGATTTAAAAAATACGATACAGTAGAAGCATTGAACAAATATCCGAGCGCCTCAGAACAAAATTATTACATATTTTTAAAAAATCCAAAAATAGGAAAAACAAATGTGTCAATAGTCAACACAATTACAAAAAACATTTTTTTGATTTTGATGGAGGTAGTATAACGTTTCACATAGGACGGAATTTGGGTATTTGAATAGCCATATCGTCATTTTTGTGTCATATAAAATATATTTTATTGAAGAATTAAAGCGGCTTTTTTTACAACACTCTATGTATCACAAGAAGTTGCAATGGTAATGATAGCTTGTTTAAAAACAAAGAAATGTTATTAGTCGCCAATAAGTTGATTTAGAATTTATTTTGCATCTTTTTCATCACTTAGTACTTAGAAAACTCTTTCATTAGTGACACTGGTTGAATATAATATAGTTTAAATCCTTTTAGTTGGAAGATGCAACATTTGTTCATGGCCAACTGCGAACAAAAATCAAAGATTATTTTTTGCTAAAAATGTATTATAATAATTTGTTACAAATATATATATTTTTCAGATAAGAAAAAAACAAGCTTTTAAAAATGACATAGCCATCTATGATTCCCATTAAAAAAAAAATACAAGTTTATTTTATTACGACTAAACAAACAACTGAAAAAAATTGTTAACTACATTATTAAATTCTATGTAAAAAAGTGCCTGTATAATGTCTTTATTTCAAATCTGTGTCTTCTATAATAACGAAGATATGAATTTTTTTAGATTTCGCTAAAATGTCAATTTTTGTCTATAGGTCGAAAACAAAAGACGATAGCGAGATGCGGTTTTAACCAATATTATTTTCTCAAAAAAATGAGCCCCAGAATGTATCACTCGTTTTTGGCTAAACCTCTTAGTTTCGGAGATTCCCTATTCGGACATCCAAAATGCAGCACCCTGTACAAGTTGAGCTGCAGACGTACCTATATTTTTTATTACATAATACATTATATTGTAGTATAATGAAAAAAACAAATTTTAAATTTTAAAATAGTTATCAAAATGTAGGTTTCCTACCATTACATAAACATTAACTATAAGAACAGTAAATATATTTTATTAGTTTTATAGTAAAAAATTCCATTTTGACTTACGAGTATGAAGTGACAATTTGAAATTACTAAGGGCCATCAGTTATATAAAAAATTAATCGCCTGTAATTCTGATTTAAACCCATAACAACAATTTTTGTAAAAATTTGAGGGTTCATCTTCTTACATCTTATTGACTAGGTATGAAAACAAAACCACTAAAAAATGTTTAATATACCTACTTATTAACAGGGGCATCTTATAAATGTTAATTTTGAAAAATTAATTAAAATTAATTGATACAAAAATTGTTTTTTAATGTTTACATTTTTAATAAACGAATCTATTCGTTACTGTTTGTTCATATTTTATTTCTACAGAAATTAATATCACCGCATATTTGAAATAATCGTGGAGCATGTATGAATTTTTTATATTCAATATCTCAGTCAATGAATATACGAAAAAAAAATGCAACTCTACAATTCTCTTTTTATCACAGAATGGTTTTGTGTTACGCCACTGCTCAAGTACGCATTGGCTCCGCCTATTAATATCCTTCTTGGTTTCTATGAACTTTACTTAAATTTTGTCTCACCTGCGAATCTGATAGCCCCGTGAGTAATGAAATCACGTTGTCCATTAAAAACTGGTCATAAATTATGGAGTACTGACACTGTTTTACCAAAGTCTGTACAAAATCGCAAAAATTCTGCCTGAACTTCTTCCATGTTTGTCCTGCCATAATAAGGGGGTACTCCCCTGACTCCTCATCGAATTCCTCGGTCATTCTCCTGATAATAGCTGCATGTTCCATCGTCGCTTGCATTTGTTGTGTTATTCTTCCCTTACACCCTGCAGCATTTATAAAAAATTGCATCAATGCAATCAAAGCTGCCTCCCTATTGACCTAACACGATAAAATTTCAATAAATTGAATAATTGACAAAGTTTTTAAAATCACCTTGTAACTCTCAATCCACTCATCCACAATGTTAGTAAGTGAAACCTTGCTGTTTTTGATGTAATGGTACAAAGAAGTCTCGTCTTCGGAACTCCCTTCAACTGTGTTTTTCCGACCGGGAGGGCGCCCCCTGCCACGGGGTTTAGGGGGTGCAGCTCCAGCCCCAGTTGGGGAGTATGAAGGCGGTGGTAAGTTTGTTTGCCCCCGTGCTTTAGATCTGGTAATTCGACGCATTCCGGGAGTTGGGGGGGATTCAAACATGCCGTCTGATGATGATGTTCCCGCCTGTTCGGCGTACTCGACGCCGTATAAACTTGGGTGACCGTAGCCCCCATAACCGTCAGGTTCAACTTGGGGAGTCATGGGGTTTTCGTATTCGGGGGGCGGCTCATCCATTCGGATTCTTTTACCGCCACGACGTTGCATTTTGAAGCGTTTTATTTAATCACATCCAATCACAATAATAATAACTGGACAATATTTAAACACGGGAAAAAGACGCTAGAGCGGGACGCGAAACATTTTTATTACCGGTATAGTAGGAATCTATTTTGACTTTTGACAACCGAATCCCCTAAACTTTTTTGTTTACTACAGTGGCGGACATGGAATTTTGAACATCAATTTGTCAGTTCAAAAAATGTCAATGTAAGCCACGCTTTATTGTCATTACTCACTATGATTGACGTTTGAAACTAAAATTTGAAAGTTTTAGTTAAAATTTATTTTTGAAGTCGATTTTCCGAAACAGTAAGGCCAGCGATACATGTTTTTTATATAAGTTCAATAAATTATTTTGATTTGTTGTCACTTTTTCTCTAGCTATCAAGATAAAAATTACAAAAACCAAAAGTGAGGTTAGTTGCCTAAGGCCCGTTTTACATTTTTATGTCAGACGAATGACATAATTTTTATAACCTTTTATTTGTAAAAAAATCCAAATTTACCCGATGTAAACTGGTGATTTTTTGACTTATGCAATTGTCTTGCTTGTACCAGTTTTTTATGTACGTTAAAATAACGTTTCATTAACATAACTGTTTTTTTTTTGTACCTACCAAAAACTTATGCGGTATACTTCATCTTCCTCTTCTAGAAAATTGTTTGGTGAAGCTCTGTTTCCTCAACCTTGATGTCATCCTCAAAAAAACTTTGTTCTTCTCCAGGAAGTACAACTTCCATGTTATTTCTTTCCTGTTTCTTGTCTTCTTGCAATGATTTCGTTGTGTCCAGATTCCTCGTCAACTTCTTCGCGTGTTCTTCTTTAGGCCTTACTTTTGTCTTCAACTTCCTTTTCTTTGGTGTCCCCCTCAAAAGTATTTTATCTGTTTGTGTTTGGGTTGTCCATTTTGAAGGCTCAAACTCAGTCTGAGTTCCAACGTGATTTCTCTGGATCATCTCCGAATCAGTTTGAGTGCCCATTTCACAACCCTGGAGACTGGTGGCTGGAGACCCTACCTCGATGTACCTCCCAACAAACATCTCGTCTTCATTTTGGATATAATCGTGGTCGAGTTTTACGGAAATTTCTTGAAACAAATTTAATGAAGGCACTGCTGTAGATGTTAATCTACGGTTCTGGATGCATTTTTTGTCAAAATGCAATCCACAAACCCTGAAATTGTGAAGTTCCGCAGGATTTTTCAGCATGATTTCCTCTCGTCCACAAGCAACTTTCCATTTCTCCAACCTGAAGAAATCGTTCACTGGAAATCTATAAAAACTAACTTTACTTTCGTAAAAAGTTGAAGTGCAATTTTTCACTGCACATTTCGTTCCTTTGCTCTTGCCCATTTTTGGAATCGATACAGAATTATTACATAAAATAATAAGAAATACAATAAATGATATTACCTACTAACTACTCATTACGTACAACTAAGTATTAGCAATTACTAGTTACTACTTTACCATACAAATTAATAGTTCTACTACTTAAATCGGTTAATATTAACTAAACCTAAAAATGTTAATAACTACTGTGAGGTTAATAATAGATTGATGGTTAATATAAATATACAGATAATTAAAAGGTAATTATTATCGCTAACGCCCTTTGAACTTTTGAAATTTCACTCAAGAAAATCACATGAGTTGAGACCTCGCAAGTTTGGATAGAAAGTGAGGGAAAAATTTGAGGTTCTTTCGATTTTGGGCCTAAATTTCCCTGCAATTTTTTAAGTGGGACTGGTGTGAAGTTAGCTGGCATTATAGTTTTATAAAATATTTTCATAAAAAAAACGCATTAGAAATGGGTTAAATAACGACACTGATACATATTTTCAAAAAATTTTATTGTTTTAGACAAAAATATTTACTGAAAGTCACGAAGCCCTATAGCGTGAAGTTAGCATCTAACATCTGGTTTTTATTAATCTGTAGTATAAATTTAAAAAAATGATAAAACATGAATATTAATCAAAAAAATTGTAGTTTTTTTCTAATTTCATTATTAATTAATTTCATACCTTCACCCACTTTATTAATCAGTGATCAGGTGAAAGAAAAAAAAAATGGAATTAACTGACAAGTAATGCCGGTATAGTAGGAATTTATATAGACATAACCTTAAATTAGAAGAACATTTTTGAGCATGTATCAATCAAAAACTTAGAAAGTAATTAAAAATTTTGTAATATTATTGTCACCACTTATAACTTGAGTGAATAAGTAGCACTTTATCATGGATTCAAGCGAGTCGCAACTACAAATTCGACTGGTAACAAAACAAGAAAGGTATGTGAATTTTGAAAAATAACATAATTCATTGTGGTATTTTAGTTTTGCGGTCCCAGATGTGCCCCTGGCCGTACCAGGTTCTATTGAACACAATTCATTAAATGAATTGGTCAACCAGTTAATAAAAGAAAACAAATCTGATTTTCTGAAGCCCAAAGAATTTGATTTTTTGGTCCTGGGTGAACTATTAAGGGTCCCCCTTGTAGAACATTTAAAGGAGCACAACATTTCAACTGAATTAGCTGTTGATGTTGAGTATATTGAGAGGACTCCAGCTCCGGAACCCCAAGATTCACTTTTACACGATGACTGGGTTTCAGGCTTACATTGTGTGGATAAATGGCATTAAATTTATTCAAATAAAGGCTGTGTAAATAATAATGTTTTCTAGGATTTTAACCGGCTGTTATGACTATTCTGTAAACATCTGGACAACACATGGAAAATTAGTTACATCCCAAAAAGAACATACAAATATTGTAAAAAAAGTGGCATGGTTAAATGAAAACGATTCCTCACAAGGTTTCATAAGTGTTTCCCATGACCTTACAGGACTACTGTGGCAATGGGAACCAGGAACAGACAGTATAAAACCCCTAGTTGCATTAAAAGGCCATGAAAAAGGGATAGACAGTGTGGGGGTGAGCCCCAACTCCCTGAAAATCGCAACAGGAGGGTGGGACACGAACCTCAAAATTTGGACATCATCGTTTGAAAGCGACGACGAGCCTGCACACAAAAAAGTAAGAGGAGACAAAAACCTCATTACCAGGACTCCAATTCACACATTAAAAGGCCACAAAGAAACCATAACTTCAACTTCTTGGATTGACAACCACGTGATTTGCACTGTTTCAATGGACCATACCATTAAATTTTGGGATGCCGAGTTGTGTGGTATTAAGAATGAAATAGTTGGCCAGAAGGCGTTTTTGGATTCCTCTTGGTCTCCCTTATCCAACACTTTATTAGCATGTTCAGCAGATCGACATATTCGATTGTATGATCCAAGATCGTCAGAGGGTTCAGTTGTTAAGACCACTTTCACTTCACATATTCTATGGGTTAGTTCAGTTGAATGGTCGAAATATGATGAGCATCTTTTTATGTCAGGAGGGTACGATTCTGGGGTCAAATTGTGGGATTCTAGAAGTCCTAAAGCCCCACTTTATAATCTAGAGGGGCATCAAGGGCAAGTTTTGGCCGTAGATTGGTCCAATAACAAGTATCTTGTCTCTGGGGGGTGTGACAATAGTGTACACATTTTTAGAAATAAATATGTGTTTTAAGTAAAAAATAAAGTTAATTAAAAAAATTATATTGGTTTAACTTGCAAAATTTAAATTGAATTAACGCCAACTGGAGAATGAGGAGCTCCTGCAAAAAAAATTAATAACTATTTAAAAAAAAAAAAACTTAAAAATCGTACCCAGAGAATGGTGCATTCTGCGTTGGCGCATTGGCAGCTTGCTGGGCTAAATTCCCAAAACCCACAGTTGGTTGATTGGCTAAATTACCAAAAGCTGTATTTTGGGTACTAGCAGCGGCCCCAAATCCGGGACTTGATGACCCAAACACCTTAGGAGTAGTCCCAAAAGCCGGTGGACTTCCAAACGCTGGTGCTCCTCCAAAACTAGGCGCACTTCCGAAGCTGGGAGACCCTCCGAAAACAGGAGCTGCCCCAAATCCAGGTTTTTGGAAGCTCTGACCTGCCCCAAACCCGGTTTGTCCCACAGTTCCACTTCCACTACTGAAGGGCCCCGAAGGTTGCTGCCCGAAGGTACTCCCACCGAAGAAAGACGACTGTTGCCCCCCAAAAGACTGATTCCCGAAACCGGCACCAAAGCTTTGGGATGTGTTACTGAAAAGCGATCCACTACTGGACCCGAAAACTGGGGCACTTGAAGACACTGCAGCGGTCCCGAATGGGTTAGCAGGTGGGCCAAAACCCGAACTTTCAGTCGTTGAAACGTTGAGACTTCCGAAACCGAAGCTTCCGGAACTAGTACTAGTACCAAAAGTACCAGATTGAGTAGTTGCAGGAGCGAAGACACTTGGCGAACCAAAAAGTGAAGGTGTAGTAGACGCAGGTGCTCCGAAAGCACCGAAAGTACCCCCGGTGGTAGTTGTTGCCCCAAAAATGCTCCCAGAGCTCGTAGTTGGTGCATTTCCGAAGACGGAACCACTGGCTTGTCCGAAAGTTGACGGTGAACCCCCGAAAACGCTCGGATTGCTGAAGGTACCACCCGACGAACCGAATACAGAACCTTGACCAAAAGTACTCGTATTTTGACCGAAAGTTGGAGGAGTTGTGGTACCGCCAAATATTGGCGCCTGAGTACCTCCGAATATTGACGGTTGAGTCGAACTCGGCTTGGTACTAAATAAAGAAGACTTTTGGGTGGCGTCCCCAAAAAGCCCGAAACCTTGCGATTGAGTAGTCGTCGTGGGACTGGCAAAAGTCGACTGAGTAGTAGCACTAGGCGCCCCAAAAACTGGGGTGGTAGAAGAACCAAAAATTGACGCTTGAGTCGCAGGTGCAGCCCCAAATCCTGATGTGGTAGATGACGGGGTACCACCAAAAATGGATAATTGAGTGGTGGGAGTTGATCCAAAAACAGTTGATGGTGAAGTACTTGACGAAACATTACCAAAAATTGACGGTTTTGTATCAGTACTTGCAACAGTACCAAAAACAGAAGCCACAGTAGAGGTTGATGTAAGAGCACCGAAGATAGATGGTTTCGAAACGTTCGAATCAGTGGTTGAAACAGCCCCAAAAACACTTGATGCAGTTGTGCTAAAAATTGACGGTTTCGGGACGTTAACTTCGGTACCACCAAAAAGTGGTTTACTTGGGAGGGTACCAGCAATAAAGCTTGTTGTTGTTGGAGCTGAAGATATGGTTGGGGGTTGAGTAGCACTACTAACAACAGAATCAAAAATTGATTGAGTTGTTGCTGGCGTTGAGAAAATACTCGTTGAAGTTGTGGTAACAGTAGTTGTAGTAACAACAGAAATTGTGGTACCAGTAGGTGTTGTGACCTTCGGTGATGTTGTTACGACAGGAACAGCCGGCGAAGGAAAAATAGATGATTTGAGTGCTCCCAATGAAAACGGTGAGGACTGAGTTGATGGAATACTACTAGTGGTACTAACAGAAAACGGAGTTGAAATACTACTAGTAGTACTAGTTGAACTTTGAGTACCAAAAATCGGTTGGATTGAAACAGGACTCGAGACAACTTGTGTAGTTTTAGGACTAGTTGTAGAAGTTGTAGGGAAAATCGAGCGTTGGGTACTGGTGGCAATGGGAGAAACAGCAGAAACCACAAGACTTGGAGTACTTGATGCAGAAGCACCTATTGGCTTTGTAGAAAAGGTAAAGGTTTTTGAAACCGCAGCTTCGCTCACCTTTTGAGTTGTTGTACCAAAAATACTCGGAGTGAACTGAGCGGAAGTTGGTGTACTAGTAGTACCAAATGACGGAGTAGAACTTTTCGCAAAAATTGAGTTATTCGCTGTAGTACTTGTGGGTGTGGATAGATTGAAACTAGAAACAGAAGTACTGGATTTAGTACTCGCAACACTACTTGTAATTATTGGTGTTGCAGTACTTGTAGTTTGTAAATTAAACGAAAATGTCGTTTTAGGCAAAGATTTAGCAAATAGGTTTGTACCACTTGTAACTGGTTGGGTGGACAAATTCACAAACGATTTAGGCACTTGTGTGGTTGCAGTACCAGTCGCTGCCACAAAACTCGGACTTGTTTTAATTAAAGACGCTGTTACTGTTGTAGTTGCAGCCATGAAAGTTGGCTTGTAAGTGTTTGCCGACGCAGTACTTGTCGATACAAAAGCCGAGTTTGGCGACCCAGCAATCAAGTTTTTAGTCAAGGGCGTAAAAGTCTTGAGAGCGAAATTTTGTAAACTTTCCATTGGAGTTGAGGAAGACTCAACCTTGAGTACAGTTGGTTTGGGAGTTGACTGAGCAAAATCGAGAACCCGGGGTGTAACTGAAGTTTTTTCAGGTCGAGTAAGTTGTTTTGGTGGAGTTTGGATTACTGAACTCGCCAATTGAGGCTTCACCACTGAAATATGAGGATATTCTCTTTTTTGAAGAAAAGACCGCAAAGTTTGGGCTTTCTTTTTTGTGAAATTTTTTGTTCGATTCATGACGTGTTCATACTGAAGTTGGCTAATGTCCTCAGGATCCATCCTCAAACGTTTTAATTCCTCTGGTAAGTCTTTAATATCATCGAGAGAAACGAGAAGAGAAGTGCCAACAGCCGAACGCGACTTGTTTTTAATTCTACTGGCTATATCTTTCAAAATATAACTCTAAAAGCAAAATAATTAACAAAACCCACAAGCTAATTATCCCCCTCACTTGTTTTCGCAAAATTGCGTTTTGTTTCACCATAGTTTGAAAAATCATCTCCATCGTCGGAATTTGTATTTTATGTTTCTTCTTGCAATAATCTTGGAAATTCTCCCATTGTTCATCTAAGGCGGAATGTGCCTGTGTTATTTGAGATTCCAAATAATAATTCGCATGTCGTATATCTGATAGCTGTTTCTCAGACGCAGAATCGAGAGGTTGAGCTCTCGTCAATACCAACAAAGATTCGTCCTGAGACGCCAAATGGCGCGATTTCACTTCCTCATACCAAGCCCAAGATTGAAGAAGATTCTGCTTCAAGATATGAACCTAAAAACGCAATTTAACACGTTTAACAACTATAAACACCCGTACCTCAGATTTTTGAGTAGTACAAATGTCGACAAGTTCGTTGAAAAACTCCTCTAAAGATTTAGTACTCATGACGAGTTTAGTTTTATCATCATCGGTCCCTAAATTTATTTTCAATGACCGGCCTTGGTGAAGAATAGCCTTGAGTTCCGATTCTAGAAAAATGCATTCTTCACGAACCATTTGTGCGAAGATATTTTCAGCTTCTTCCTCCGCTTTCAAGTCCAGATTTATCGTCTCTTCGGGTTTTTCAAGGCTCTTGGAAGTGCTAGTAGGAGGAGTGACTGTTTTTGCTACCACGTGTATAGTTTCTGTATTTGGTTGAGAAGGGAACAAGGATTGGTAAGGTGACGAATTCGCTAATTGGGGGGTAGTTTTTGTCCCTTTTGCAACCGGTGTTAGAGTAGCTTGACCTCCAAAGAGGTTTATCTGAGGTTGAGGCGGAGTTGCTTGACTTGTATGAGCTTTGAAAAGTGAAGTAGTACTAGGGGTACTAACCACAACAGGGGCCGGTTTTGGTTGTTCTACACTTTTGATTGGTTCTAATGGTTTTGTCTCAGGTTCGGTACCACCAATAAGAAAATTTTCTAAACCTGAAGTGTCAGGTATTGGATCAGGTGGAGTACATATGCTTGGAATTCCCTCTTTCAAATTGATTACATTAAAAACACACAACGTTCCATGATGGGACAATAGTAATAAAAATGGTACTGGTGGTAAAGTCGTCTCGCCCCATGGTAAGGGTTGACTGTTCCCAATATCAAGTCCACAACCCACTGGTAAAGTCTCTTGATGATTTGCACTGAGAGGAAGTTCAGCCCTTGCTGCATCGCCCATAATCCATTGCTTCCAAAAGTCCCCAGAATTCCCCAATATCCCTACTTCCATACTATTTGAGGACGCGGCCATTAAAATATTCCTAAAAATGTTTTTTGGTGCAAATCCACATTAATATTGTTAAATACCATTGGTGAATCAAAATGGTGTAAAATTGCACAGGTCTTGCGTTCCCATTACTGTAGCAAATATCATCATAGTTGATATAAGTGGGGTCTCCGGTTTTAGGCGCATCAACCACGATAAAAGTTGCAGAATTGCTGGGGTTAAGGGGTTGAAAAACGCCGATAAATTGATAATTGGAGACCCATTGTAAGGATTGAAGTGAATGGGGCTCTTTAAAAGGTGGCGCATTTATGACTTTGACGGCTTTTAAGTCGGGTTTGTATTGGGTGATTTTGCCATCGCGGGAACCCACAGCTATTTGCTTGCCTTTGGGGCTCCAACAAAAGCTGGTAGCACCCGCTGCAGCTGGTAGTTCATTTATGTCAATTCCACTGTTTTTGATTTCATAAATTCCTGAAATAATTATTGAGTAAATGTTTCAGTGAATGTTACATGTACCTAGAGTCCCGTCACTTTTACAGGCTGTAAATACCGGTCCTAAAGCCGGATTCCAATTCACTTCAGTGACAAAAACTGAAGGTGTTGCTGATAGACGGATTTCCCCAATTTGTTTAATATCTCTTTGCCAAAATGATTTAACATCGTAGAATAAAGCACAAGGACAATTATTTTTTTCAATAACAATACCCAATACTGTGTGTTCGCAATTGACTGATACATGCGTAGGGGGCGATGGTAGTGGCAGATTTCTTCTAGGGTAGTCGGTTTTATCTCCACCACCTGAAGTACTACACTCTTCTATGCTTTTTAACTGAATTACTGGAAAATTAATAGTTGGTACAATTGATCATTTTTAAAGAGACAAACTATACTTTGGACGTTCGAAGTGTTGCTACCAACGAAGATTAGCCCAAATCTGCTGGCACATGTAACCAGATTACAATATTTCGAGGTATTTGCACCCTCTGCATTATTAAACACTTTCAAACGACAACGTAATTTAAACTGAAGATCCTGTATTTATTGAAATAAGATTATTTTACCCATGCTGGACTAAAAGTAAATACCTGGACATCTATCGGATCTGGGGCGGTTTTTAACATTGCGAAAATTAATCAATGTAAATTTTATTACCACTGCTACACTTCTCTAACAAATTAAAATTCCAGAATTCGTAAATCAAACATACCGGACAAACATAACCGCTTTGGAAAAGTCTGTCAAAGTCGTAGTTTTGACAGCAATCACTTGTCAAATCTTCTAAAGCTCAATTCACACAGGACGCAAGCCGTTAACACGTAAGACGTATTCACAATTAAAAATAAAAGAGAATTTTTTTCTGCTCTTAATCATATTAGTTTACTTCCGTATTTTGTTTCTAATAAATTTAAAGCAATATTTAAACATACAGTTGGAGACAAAATACTTTGGTTGTCACCTTTCTGACACTTTAATGTAATTCAAGCTTTAACGTTAAAATGAATAACAATTTAAAATTAATGGCAGCTATTTTATTTTTCTATCAAAAATATGTACAGTTGGAGACAAAATACTTTGGTCGTCACTTTTCTGACACTTTAATGTAATTCAAGCTTTAATGAATGACAATTTCAAATTAATGACAGCTATTATATCTTTCTATCAAAAATATGTACAACTTGCCATCTATGATTGACAGTACCTAAAAATAAGGTTAACAGTCCTAAAGCATGCTTTACAATTTATAGTTCTTCTAGAAATAAGTGAAAACAGAGTCAATTGCTTTATGGGTGTAATTATCTTAGGTAAACCCACAGACGGCTACCGGTGGTTTTAACCCTCAATAAAAATATCTACGAACTTAGCCAGTTGGGCTGGTTTCCAGGGCCGTATTCACTTTATGAAAAGCTTTATGTATGAAAACTAAACTATTCAATAGCTAATTTTAAATGCTACAGTTTCTTTTTCTGTGCAGCTTTTAATAAAAATGTTTTCTTTTATTGGTTGTAGCGTATTTTTTTTAAATATTAGTTTTCTCGACTCGAACAATTTCCTGAGTCCGCCTCTGCTTGCAAGAAAACGCCACATTTTGACCTGCTGCAACGGGTTTTTAACAGTTTATGGCTATGATAATAATTAATACCCAGCTCTTAGGGTGCAATAAAGCAATTGACTCTGTTCTCACTTATTTCTAGAAGAACTATAATGTCATTCAAGTGACATTGACGACCAAAGTATTTTGTCTCCAACTGTACAGTCGCGACCATTGAAAAGTAATACACTTGACAAATAAAAAACTTTTGGCGTTGTAAATTTTCCCTTGAAATTGACAATCACTGTCAAGTTTAAAATGTCACTTGAATCTTCTTCTTTGCTTTAAGGACAGTCATTTTGTTCACATTTATTTCTTCTGCGATGACTCGTATAGGGACATTGTCCCTTAATCTTGTAATAATAATAGATTTCTGTACATTCGACAATTTTTAAATTTTTCTGACGGCGTCCACCACTAATTTGTCAAAAGTGACGTTTTCAGTGACACTGACAATCACGACAAAAAAATTATATTATGCATTTTTTTAAATTTTGAGAGGATGTGTCAAAATCCCGTGTATTACTTTTCAATGACCGCCACTGTACATACAACTTGTCAACTATGATTGACAGTAACTAAAAATAAAGTTAACAGTCCTAAAGCATGTTTTACAATTTAATGTCACTCAAGTGACATTGACGACCAAAGAATTTTGTCTCCAACTGTACAGCTTTAATCATCTTTTTTAACTGTGTTTTTTTGTAATAAAAACTAATAAAACTTCAAATCGTCATAACGTGTAGAGATCATAAAATAAAACCAAGACATATGCAGCTTTATAACATTTTATTACACTTGTTAGAAAAATATCTACATAAATAAATAGAAACGTTATCAGTCAAAACATGAGTACATTAAATAAAACTAATTTTCAGTAAAAATGTATGATTTCTGAGTCAGCTAAAACAGAAATAGTGATCCTAACTGACACACATTTATTAAATAAGTTACTTAAATGTAATACAACTTTTAAATGAGGCATATGAACCCCCTGCAACTTTATATGCTTCCAACCCCATGAGGACTAAATTAATATACAATGGGATTAAGGTGCCTGCTGGCCCGATTTTAGAGTTAAGCAACGTGACACAGGAGGACAAAAGATGCGAAACAATTACTCCTGCCACATGAAGTTTGTTATTATTATCTAAAGCATTGAAAAAAATCACTCCCCAGAAAGTGTGCAACAATATAAAACAAAGTCCAGTTGCCGCACTTGTGAGGAAAAACATCTCATTTCCGCTCTTTAACCCCATGGTTCCAGGTCCCACCGCATCAGCAAGAATATTAACCAGTGAAAAGGCACCACTGATAATCCCAAAACCTAGTCCACTCACATAGGCCAAAATATGCTTGTTTTCAATTAGTTGAGTGCTGTCGTCTGTGATTTTCTTAAGACCATTTTCGGCTTTTCTTAAGATTTTGTAGATAATGTAGCGGAAGGTTTCCTGGAAGACCACTGAAAACACCACCCCAAAAGCCAAGTCTTTTCTTAGGGGGACCACAATGTACCACCACAGCGATGACAACAGAAGGGATACCAGCCAGAAGAACGCTGCCGCTATCAGGATTATTATTCGCACAGGGTCGTGAGCAATTGTGAACACGAACATTGCAAACGGGGGCCCAAAGGCCAAGAAGGTGCACCCGAAAAATTCAACCAACGTCATTTCTATCTACTAGAAAACAACGCCAAATAGTTAATAATTCGTCTCACATTCACTTTACTGAAAAAAATGTTGTTTTCACTACAAAATAAGAAAATGCTTGAACGATTTTCTGACAGCTGTCACTTGTCATGTCATCTGTCAAATGTTAATAACGGTAATTTTGAAATTAAAAATTAGACAATTTTCCGTCCTTTAACTGTTTTCTAATAATAAAAAACACGAGTGTGCCACTGAATTTAATCTCGTTACAAAATATAAAAAATCCTTGTTGAACAATTTTCTGACAGCTGTCATGTCATCTGTCAAACATCGATAACGGTAACCTAAAAATTAAAAAATAGCCAATTTTCCGTTCTTGAGCTGTTTTTTAATATAAGAAAGACGGGAGTGCCGCTGAATTTAATGTCTCGTGTTTAAGTAACTAATCTAAGTCAAACACAATTATCAAGACGCTCCCAAAGTGTAAATTTGGGTAAATACAAAAATGGCGTTCAATTTTCCTGCATTTTCGTATATCATTGCACTAATCGTCGACGCTTTCCTTATATTTTTCTCCCTGTTTCATGTGATTGCATTTGATGAATTAAAAACTGATTACAAGAACCCCATTGACCAGTGCAATAGCTTAAATCCAGTAAGTAAAGATTTATGCATAATTAATGAAGTTGTTGCACTCTGACTCTATTTTCACAGCTAGTGGTGCCCGAGTACCTCCTTCACATTTTCTTTAACATCCTTTTTGTTGCCGCTGGAGAATGGTTTTCACTGCTTCTCAACATCCCACTGATCATTTATCACATAAATAGATACAGGACGAGGCCTGTGATGTCAGGTTTGGGGATTTACGACCCCACTAGTATTATGAATGCTGATGTCCTGACCAGATGTCAGAGGGAAGGGTGGATTAAACTCGCGTTTTACTTGTTATCCTTCTTTTATTACCTCTATGGGTATGTAATAGCGTTAGAGAACGCTCATGATCACACATGATAGTTGTCGTTTTTGTACTGTTATTTGACAATTTCTGGTCATAAGAATATTAAATTTATCTAATGTAAAATGCTCTCAATAAACTATATAAACACGAATATTACTCTTTATGACAAGTTGGCAATAATAAGATAAGAATTAACGAACTGTTCATATGGCTGTGTTTATATAGAAGTGGTGTGATCTTGTGCTAAATTTTAAATTGACTTTATTATTTTTAAATCAGAACCGAAATCCTTAACTATCTGTTTGTTGCAGAATGATTTACTGTTTAATCTCGGCGTGAGTACTTGCAACTTCCAAAGAATTGAGAAGAAATAATTGAGGGTGGGATTAAAAAGGATTTCGGTTCTTATTATTATGTTTTAGTAATTGAGTAACGTAATATTAAGCATAATGGAAAGAACTGACTTCCTTTAATACTAGGGCAGTTATTGTGATTTATTTAGATTGTTTGTACACGATCCTGTTCAGTCTTTTCTGAGAAATATACACATTGATCACTTGTTAAACATACTTATCAGAAAAGATTTACATCATAATTACATACATTACTAGTACTTTATATTATTTCAAGGTATTGTGTAAATAAAAATTTATCAGCGACTTTGTTTATTTTGTTACAAAAGTATAAACTCCCAATACAAAATTCAACATTCAGAATTTAACACAATATAGACTTTCTAACACAGTAATTACTTTTTGGTGTTTTTTGGAATGTCGTTTCAAAGAAGAGTCCCAAATACTAAATATGATGAAATAAACTCAAATCCTTATTGCTTAAAGAATATTTCTAACTAAAATCGAACACTGGACTTGAAACATTTAATTCCCTAGCTTTTCCAATAACCATTCCTCTGTCAAATCCTCCAGTTCTCTAATTTCAAAAGCTCTGGCAAGGTCTGCTTCACGTTGCAGGGCAATTTTTGATCCTGCATACATTATTTGCAACTCAGCGTGGCTATCACGTGGTGTAAAATAGATGAAACACAATGGGTAAGAAACCCGTCCATCCTTGTGTTCTTGACGGTATGATAGAATCACATATCGGGGTTGGTGACTTTGTAAGCTCTCTTGAAGTTCTTCGATTGTAATATTTTCCAGTTTCTCGTCAATTATTATTTGTTGTTTTTCACGATCAACTTTCACTACAACAAATCGATGAGAAATTAACGTTGCTACTGACGAAACTTACAAATTAAAGCGGCAGTGTCTTGAGCTTTTCTAAAGCGAAAATCCTTAAGAGCTTGTTTCACATCGTCAGTGACGGCACATATATTCACGTTTCCTGACTGTAATTCAAACTAGGTAAAAAACTAAGTAACTATTTCGATAATTACCATTCTTAATTTGTTTGACTCAAGACTACATTAACCTGAGTTTGAGTGAACTTTTGATTTCCTTTGATACTAGGCCACAACTAGAAAAACACTTGTAAAACAAACACACTAATGGGCCAAAATTAAATGGATATTTGACAGGTAAAGCCGATAAAACATAGAATTTCCGGTTTTAGACCACAGCAACACTTAAAATTTATTGTTCACAAGGTTTCTCGGTTTATCATATCTCTTTTTTAACAAAATATTCTAGAATTACTACTTTTAATTATATTTCTTACCACTAAATTAAATAACAATAAATACAGTCAGTGAAAATATAACGTTTTCTTGTTTTTATCAAAACTTATTTGACATATCTGTTTGACATTTCACGTTGACGCATGACTGTCAGTAGTGTCACTAAATGTCAAATATTAGTGTTTTACTGGTTGTCTACTCTATAATATTAAATATACTGCTCCACAAAAGTCGCACTATTTTTACAAAAAACAAATTTTATTCTTCAAAGCATTGTGGAATTCAGCAAAAACAAAAAAGTAAAAAGATATCTGCCTTTATCTCACTTTTAATTAATTGTTGATTTCTTTTTTAATAATCTATTAATAAATTAATAGTTAATATATATAATTAATACCTACTAATTAAAAGTTAATAATTAATACTAATTAAAATTAGTTATTGTAATTATTACACACTACCTTAACTTTTGTGGAGCAGTTTATTAATTTTTGTTAGCATTCAAATAAATAAAAACAAAATTATTATTATATTTTAATTGAAAATCCTTAACGAAACACCTTTAAAACTCGGAAACATTCTGCAGTTTTGATTCACACTTTTATTAAAAATAACTATTGTCATAAACCTGAATTATTTTTTTAAAATAATCAGTGGCGCAACGAGGAGGCGGCTTTGGGGGTTAGCCCCCTCCCCCTATAAAAAAATTTGGAAAGAATTATATTGTAGAGGTAATAAAATTATATTTTAGAAACAATAAAATTTAACATTCGAATTTTGTATACAATTATTTGTCATAACTTCAAAAGATTTATAACTTTTTCCTTTTTTCATGTTGTATATTTTATTTAGTATATTGCGGCAAAACTGTACCTCAAACTTTATTCCGAGAAATCGATTAGCGTCGAGAAAATTCTTGATCGTTTAGAAGTTATACATACATACACATAGTGGAATGAATATTTTGTATATTTTTGACTTTTTTAAAGACTCAAAAAAATGCATAAAACTTTATTGGGATAAATTTCAAAAGTTACGAATTTTTTGAGTTTTTGAATAGTAAAAATAGTCAATTTACCTCACCATACCACAACTCATGGTTCTTGGGATATTAATTTTTTATGAAAAAAACTAAAAATGGCTCTGTACCCGGAACCATAAGTAACAACTTCCGGTTTGCGCCTTTAGATAGATGATTTCAAGCCAATTTTAATGGTTTTTAGCTTTTTGCTCAAAGTCTTATAGTTACACATTTTTGAAAATTTTCACTTTTTGAACAACGATTACGGCCAAACTATTAGACTTTGAGCAAAAAGCTTAACACTATCGTAATCAGCGTAAAAAATCTATCGATTGACGCTAAAGCCAAGTCAATATCTCGCAAAAAATGAATTTTTTAACGCCGATTACGGCGATACTAAAGGAGATAGCGCAAAATAATTGGAAATTCGTAATCAAAATCTATCGGAGAAGATAGGTTTAAATTGAATCTGAAACATATTCAAAAATACTAGTTTTTAAGGGGGGGGGGGGGTGTTTTTTTCTTTTATTTTGTAAATTGCGAAAAAACTGTATCTCAATGATACAATATTTTGACCTAAATATATGTAAAATGCTCCGGGTAATCGATTGGCGTCAAAAAAACTGCATAATAGTTTTGAAGTTGAAGTATTTATATATTTGATATTTTTGACTTTATCAGAAATTTTCTCGATAACTATTTATCGTAGAGCGCTGATCTTTTTTGTATATGATAAAAAATTAAATTTTCTTTACAACGGTACCAAATATAAGAGGWTATCTCTAATAAGTCCGGAGTTATTTGCAATAGACCGCTCTGGGTACCAAAAATCAACCAAAATCTCGACAAATATCCAAAAAAAAATTAACTTTAAAATTGATCCATTTAACGTTTTTTGCAGTTCTATAGGTGGTAAAGACTCAAAAAATACATAAAACGTTATTTGGTCATGTTTAAAAAATTACAAATTTTTCGAGTTTTTGAAGGTAAAACCGCTTGAAATATGGTTTTCTAGAGGTAAAATTACGCGCTGAACACAATGTTTGACTCTACAATGCATAGTTTTTGAGATATTGAGTAATAAAGTAGTAAAGGCTAGAAGGATGAGCAAAAAATCAAAAATTTTTGATTCTTATAAAAAAAATAGTACTGTATGTAAGATTAACTGGACAATAAGCCTGTACAAACCGTTTTGACCTAGGAATCATAGTTTCTATGCATACATATGTAAAATGTTCCAAGAAAATAAGAAATCGATTGGTGTCGAGAAAACTGCAAAATTCTTTTACATTTGATTCATGAATTACATGAATATGTGCAATTTTTTTTCACCTAAATGGTTTTGATCATTGAGAAAAGTAGTAGTTTACAATGCACAAAAGCCCATTTGAGTTGGATTTGTCATAGGTCAAAAGATCAGTCGCGTGTTCTTCGACAAGTATATTAGCAAAAGGAGTTTGAATGGGGCCGGTTTGCTGTTGTTTTAAAACCAATTTGAAGTTTACGACGTCATTTTAAAAAAGCTAACAGTGCGGGGTTTATGTTTCCCCTTTTGTTTGTGTATTTAGTAACGTGACTCTTGGCGGGTTCACCAGCAAATATGCAGTAAATTGACTGGCGCGGCGCACAAATCATTATCCTATTAGAAACTAAACCCGGCACAATATTTTACTGTTGCATGCTGATTATTGTATAGGTGTATGCAATGAAAATTAGCAAATAAATTGTATACTAAACACAAGCAATATATTCTCATGTATCTATTAATCAAATCAACATGTAAATACTTAATTCATGTGAAAACCAAAAAATATTGTTTGCTGTTGATGTCTGACGTTTTTATTAATCCCAATTCACTCATAAAAAATCTGAACTCTTCATTTTTCACTAACCCTTAAACTGCTATAAACGTGTATCTACGCCGAGTGAGAACCGAATATCTACGAAATTACTTTTAAAATGTTTTAAAAGCATATAATGACTTATTTTGAAATTATATTAGTTTCTTAATATAAAAAGACCATAAATCCATTGCTAATTCAAATTTTTTTTCTTTGGTGTTGTTAACTGCTCTAAACGTATTTATACGCGGTAACTGGCGTTCTTAGAAACCCATGGGACGGATTCATTTTTTTCATAAAAAAAATGTTCAAAAGTTGTGTTCTGCGATATTAGCACTGAATGACCTCTTACAAGCGAAATTATTTTATTGCTTATACAATTTTTATAGTTTGCTGTTTATTGTTACAGAACAAATGTCTTTTTGCATCAACAATACAAAACAAATTTTTTACTGTTCAAGAGCTAAAGTAAATTTTTGCTAAAAACGGTGACAAAGTAATATTCTGTTCAAGAAATTGATAATTTTGATTATTACTTTTTGTGAAAACAATTAGGAGTATTTAAAAAACTTATGGGGGAGTAATAAGGTTTCTGTTCTTTTAAAATATTGCACTGAATAAAACAAATTATCTTTACTCTAAATTTTACAAATACAGACCCTAAGAATTTGTGAATTTAGCAGTAAACTGCTCAAAACGTATTTATACGCAATAAGATTTAACCGCTCTAAACGTATATACAAGGTGATTCTTTTAGGGCCTATATTAGAAACTTTTTAACTTCTAATGCAGATAGAAATTTAAAATTTGGTACACATCTCAAATCGACTAGTCTAAGTTCAATTAAATTATTTTAAAAATGGCTGAACTTCCGGAACTACGAGAAATTGGCGCCAACTTTGAAATTTTAAATGGTAACCACTTATTTTGATTGCATTTTTGAATTCTCCTCTCCAAACTGAGTAAAATGTATCTAGTTATTAGAACTTATCTGTCATAGTTTTTGACATATGTCAATTTTTTGCTCAAAATTTTCATTTGCAGAGGTTTATTAAAAACATCACAGCTCTTGAACCGTTTGCGATAAGTCAATAATTTTTTTTTTATTCGATAACCAAACGTCCGAAGAGTTTCCTAAAATTTTCAAAATTGTCAACTGTCAAATTGCAAAGCTTATATGATTTTTTGAAAATGATATTTAACAAACAGCTATAACTCAGTTTTTTCAAATAAAATGACCCCATTTTCTCAACGGCAAGCGAAAGTACATCGATTTCTAGAAGGACTTTTATCAACATGTCCTATACCCATCTCTTACAGTTTCTAAAATAATCACGAAAAACGTGTTTTTGTTTTTTATTTTTATAGTCAATCACGTAGGCTTTGGAAGATGATCAATACGTATTAAAGATTTAGTCTACACAACACCCATTCGGAATTACGAAGAATTGAGGCAAGGATTGAGACGGCATTTAATAATCTTCAACCAAATGAAATAATGGAAGCCACTCAAATCAGTTCACCATCGAATTTTGGACTGTTTGAAAATGGTAAACATATCGAACATCTGTATTAATTATGGTATATTTTTATTGTATTTTTTCAAAGCCAATGTGATTAACTATAAAAATAAAAATTATAACATGTTTTTCGTGATTATTTCAAAAACTGTAAGAGATAGGTATAGGACATGTTGATAAAAGTCCCTCTACAAATTAATGTACTTTTGATTGCCGTTGAGAAAATAGAGTCATTTCATTTGAAAAAACTGAGTTATAGCTGTTTGGTAATGATCATGTTCAAAAAATCATACTAGCCTTGCAATTTGACAGTTGACAATTTTGAAAATTCTAGAAAACTTTTCGAACCTTTGGTTATCGAATGCAAAAAAAAATATTCACTTATCGCAAAGGGTTCAAGAGCTGTGATGTTTCGAATGAACCCCTGCAAGTGAAAATTTTGACCAAAAAATTGACATATGTCAAAAACTATGACAGATCGGTACTAACAACTAGGTACATTTTACTTAGTTTAAAGAGGAGAATTCAACAATGCAATAAAATTAAGTGGGTACCATTTAAAATTTCAAAGTTGGCGACAATTTCTCGTAGTTCCGGAAGCTCAGCCATTTTGAAAATAATTTAATTGAACTTAGACTAGTCGACTTGGGTTGTGTACAAAGTTTCAAATTATTATCTGCATTAGAAGTTAAAAAGTTTCTAATGTAGGCTCTAAAAGAATCACCGTGTATAATACGCACCACCCAAAATATGTGCGCACACAGCAAAGAATTATAAAATTAATTTAGCTGTTTAAGGGCTAAAGTGTAAACGTAAATTTCTCCGGAGGGCTCCTTGGAGAAATTATTTTTCAAAACAAACAATTTTTCACAGTTTAGCATTTGAATGATATGATAATGACTTACTTAACTTAAAGAATAAAGGTTCAATAGGCGTGTCTGGGATAAAATAGTGTAACACGCCCGCTAACGCCATTGGAAACCGTGTGTTTCCCCATTGGCGTAGAAATACAATTTCCATAAAATTTTTATTTGAATGACCATATGTATAGAAATTTCTGATTTCTGTTTAGTTATTCCTAATGTTCTTGTGTTAGAAATGTAATATACAGCAAGAAGTTCATGATACGCTGATCTAACATAGTAACAAAAAAGTGCATTAGGTAATTAGCAATAAGTTGATGAGTTGACATAATCAGAAACACTTACGTTATTATAGACACGTGTCTATACGAAAATCTGACGAAATGAAAAAAGATCACTGTTGAAAAAATATTGTTTCTTTTTATAAAATTTGAAATTATTTTTTTCATTTAGTAACTAGTAAGAGAAAAAATCAAGAATCGTAGACGACTTTTGAGAAATACATCAACAAATTTCAAAAAACCACTCGTTTTCCAAGTTATTGCATAGGTATAAAAAAGCTAGATAATGTATAGGTTGATTAAGCATGTTTATATAGAATGAATTTGAACAGTTTATTCTTAGTGGTAGTGTATGTAGTACGTTTGTATTTTGTATTATTTTAAAATTAAAGTTTAAACTGATGTATGTAGGTATTTATTGTGAAATATAAAAATAAGGTATGTTACTCTGTGTTACTGCCATGCGATTTATTTTCTGATCAAAGTAGCCTGTGACTGGAAAATTAAGTTGACCACATTAAAAAACATAGAGACAGAAATTTATACATTATTAATCAATTTTGCCAACTTTACTTCAAAGTCACAAGCACCTACTTTGATCAGAAATGAATGCAGGCTGTTTTACCTGTGTGTGTGAGCCGTCATGTACGTGGAAAATAATTACTTGAACCAAGTCAGCTGTTGACACATTTAGACATGTTCATAGGTATGATGTAAACGTAAACTAATTACCTAGTCACTAATAACCAGATCAAGGACACTGATGTAAGATTTAAACACAATGAAATACACTGCTCCAAAAAATGAAGAGAACAAAAGTATTTTTTATTTTTGGTGATTTGTGAAATAAGGCTAAATCTCATCAAAAAATGGACGTATCTATAGGGTTATTCATAAATATGAAGCAATATTTGAACCTCAAAAATGATCTCTAAATTATGTTAATTTAAATAATAACTTGTCCGATCTCTATTAACAAGAATTTTACATCAGCCCTCGAAATGTGGGTAGGTATGAAATTTTTTTTTTTGTAATAACTTTGGAACCATTTGACCATAAATATTATAAAATTTGGAATAGTTACTTGCGAGTTTAGGTTAGTAATTACGAAAACCGGATACATCTATATAGGTACTCAATTTTTGGTTTCAGCAATTGCAGGTCACATCTTCTGTGTTTTTCCATTTTTTTGCTCTCTTAACACCAATTTTTTATTGCCCAAGTCAATAGAGTAATCAATTTCGATTAAAAAACGCATAACCTTTTATACCACTAAAATGGACCATTTTAAAATATCTTTAAAACGGTCCATTTAAGAGATACAGGGCGATCAAAAAGTTTATCTATCAAGCAAGCCTAGAAATTTAAAACGTGTGTCTGCGGAAGATAAAATGTCACAATGGTAGGTAAATAAGAAATGTCAAAATAATATCAACAAATCGTGGTGAACGATTTGTATGAATCGAACTCGAACTACATTTCATTTTAGGGTGTTTTAAGACGTTTCATACAGTAATTCAATTTGTTTAGATCAATATTTTAATTTTTATAAAATAATTTTTTGACATCTAGCTGACATACAAACTTACGTCCTCAACTAGTACAGCTACTTGATAGAAAGACTTTTTGCGTTCTGCGTTTTATATTCAAAATTGATTACTCTATTCTTTTGACCATGTTAAGGGGCCAAAAAAAATGAAAAAACCAGAAATGTATCCGGTTTTTGTAATTACTAGTTTAAAAGGTATGTTCTCGCAAGTAGGCATACTCATTCCAAATTTTATAATATTTGGTCAAATAATTTCGAAGTTATTACAAAAAAAAAACAAATTTCCATACCCACATTCCGAGGGTTGTAAAATTCTTATCAGTAGAGATAGGACACAAGTTATTTAATTACACAAATATTGCTTCATATTTATGAATAACCCTGTATATCTATATAGATTCAAAAAAAAAACATTTTGATTCTTTAAGTTTCTAATTTTGAGATTTTTTGCCAACATTTTTTGTGCGTGCTACTGTTATCAGGCAATCTTAAGATAAATAGCACGAGAAAAAAATAGAAAATTGTTTGGTTTTTGGTCCACAGCTTTAATATACTTTTTTATATTCTCTTCAAGTCAATTTGTCGCTGACAAACCTGACGTTAAATGAAAAAGGATCTTTTTGTATTTGATCATCGATATCGATATTAATTTTAAAAAAATATTAGATTTTTTTGACATTTATTTACTGTTACCGATGATCTAGTAATGTTTTATGAATAACCCTGAATACCTACATAGATTCAAAAAAAAAATTGATTCTTAAAGTTTCTAATTTTGAGATTTTTTGCCAAATTTTTTTGTGCTACTGTTATCAGGCAATCAATCCTAAGATAAATAGCACGAGAAAAAATAGAAAATTTTTTGGTTTTTGTTCCTCAGCTTGAATATACTTTTTTATATTCTCTTTACGTCAATTTGTCGCTGAGATACCTGACGTTTTAACCCTTAAACTGCTAAATTAGTTTTATAATCCTTGTGCTGTGTGCGCACATATTTTGGGTGGTGCGTATATACAGGGTGCGCCAGAACTCGCGCCCCAGAGAAAATTTTCAAGTAAGGTAAGGTCCCAGGAACATGAAAAAAATGTTTAAAAAATTCTATCTGTCAAAAAATTTTGACATTTATTTTTTGTCATTTGACATTTTTTATATCTATTTAAGGATACTGATGATTTTGTATGTTTTTTTACAATTATTTAGTAAAAGGACAAAAATTTTGCCAATAAAATCTACAAATAACATTGAACACAGTTACAATTTAGGATACAGCTTACTTGTTTCCTCTTTTAATAGCCTATATCAAAAAAACTTGGAAAATTATTTTTCCAACAGAAATAAATAGAATCAAAGTGCAAAGTTTAAACCCTCATAACTTCGAAATTTTTATAGATAAAATTTTTTTAACATTTTTTCCATGCTCCTGGTATCTTACCTTATATGACATTTTTCTCTGGGGCGCGAGTTCTGGCGCACCCTGTATACGGTTAGAGCGGTTAAATCTTATTGCGTAGAAATACGTTTTGAGCAGTTTACTGCTAAATTCACAAATTCTTAGAAAAATTTTCGGGTCTGTATTTGTAAAATTTAGAGTAAAGGTAATTTGTTTTATTCAGTGCAATATTTAAGAGTACAGAAACCTTATTACTCCGCATAAGTTTTTAAATACTGCTAATTGTTTTCATAAAGCGTAATAATAATCAAAATTATCAATTTCTTGAACAGAATAATACTTTGTCACCGTTTTTAGCAAAAATTTACTTTAGCTCTTGATCAGTAAAAAAAATTGTTTTGTATTGTTGATGCAAAAAAGACATTTGTTCTGTAACAATAAAAAGCAAACTTAAAAAATTGTATAAGCACTAAAATAATTTCGCTTGTAAGAAGTCATCACTCATTTTTCCGTGCGAACATCGCAGAACACAACTTTTGAACATTCTTTTATGAAAAAAATGAATCCGTTCCATGGGTTTCTAAGAACGCCAGTTACCGCGTATAAATACGTTTAGAGCAGTTAACAACACCAAAGAAAAAAAAGTTTGAATTAGCAATGGATTTATGGTCTTTTTATATTAAGAAACTAATATAATTTCAAAATAAGTCATTATATGCTTTTAAAACATTTTAAAAGTAATTTCGTAGATATACGGTTTGAGCAGCGAACCACTCGGCGTAGACATACGTTTGGAGCAGTTTAAGGGTTAAATGAAAAAGGATCATTTTGTTTTTGATCATCGATATCGATATTAATTAAAAAAAAATATTAGATTTTTTTGACATTACCGATGATCTAGTTGGTAATGTTTTTTCAGAATTATTCAATAAAGATACAAAAACTTTGCCAATAAAACCACAAATAACGTTAAACATAGTTACAACTCAGGATGCAGATTCTGCAGCAAAAAAAACATATAAAATAAATAGAATCAAAAGTGCAAAATTTAAACCCCCATAACTTCGAAATTTCTATACTTATATTAGATAGAATTTTTTAAACATCCTGTATATGGAAAATCGAACGTCAACTCCAGGAAAAGCCATCGACAATTTTTTTAGTTATTATAACCATGAAATTAAGAAAAATAGAAGTTACAGTTTATCCATATCATAATTGCAGCGCTCGAATTTATTTTTACCCTTTGTAACCGATAGTTTAGTTTGGCATTAGTGCCTAAGCCAGTCCCCCAGCCCCACCTCGAAATCATTGATGTATTTTATTCGATCAAGATAATGCCCAGACCAATGAACAGTCTCTTCCTACGTCTCAATTAGGGAGACACCACTGCAATAGAACAGGCCGAAACGAGGCGGTGCCTTTGCCATAGTGGGGGCTTCGTCAAGCCCCTGAATAACCAGGTTATCCCTCCTCCATTTTAGTACGATGCGAAACGTATGCGTGAGCAATATCAGAAAAGTTCTCGTCGGTTATCGTTTTTACGCACTGTTTGTATACAGTTCGACAGAAATCTAACTAAAACGTGTTTGTTTCAACTTTGTGATCTTCAATGGCCATGTGGCGTGGAGTATTGTGGTGCAAGTGATCCGGATTTATTTTACAAATAGTTTTTGTTTGAAATAGTACCTAACTGTAAATAAATAAACATTGCGATAATTATGTGTTGTTGGTGTTGAACTGTCTTTTTGGACAAGAGTTTTAAACATGAATGACTTGCCCGAAGCGCTTAATTTTGCGGGAAGACCCATGCATTCGGCACACATTATGTCCACAGTAAGTCGAAATTTCGGCAATTTTTGAACGATTGCAAATTCAAATTTTCTTTTCTTCGAATGATTTAATTTTGTGTGACAAGTTTGGTTAAATTAATTTAATCATTTTGACGAGGTTTTGAATAAAAAAAAATGTTCCAAATTTCATGCACATACTATTATTTATGGTCCATACTTGCTAGTTTATTAATTATTGTTCTAGAAAAATTTTATAGTAGATAAGGATAAGGAAGGCGCTCTATAATTTACACAAAACATCAAAACATGTCAAAATTTTTAGTATTTTCGCAATAGCAGTATGCAACCCATGCTCGTAAATAACACAGATTATTACCCGAAATTCTTTATTACTCATAAAAAGAAATATTTCATAAGGCTTAAATAAGTTCCCTCAAAAATCAACGTTATTTTTTATTATGTTTTTATTGAAATCAATTCAATGAAATGAAATGTTGATGGAAAACTGCATTTGTTATTTGTAGGTTTTAAAATTCATATTTTTTCCGGGAAATGAACTGATTTTCTGATTTGATTAATTTAGTTTATCCAGATGCTTTTTTCGTATTTACGATTAATTTTCTGGTTTTGTTTACGGCTCTGAAAATTACAAAATAAATTTGAATGACCAACAAATAATTGATTCAGAATTTTGCACTTAATCCATATCACTTTCTTCTGTTATTATGTTATTAAATAACCGGCATTTGCATGTCATTAGTCATTTAGTCACAGCACTCAATGTAATAAAGCATATCTAAATTATCAAATATTTATTGCCTATATCGTTTATAAAAGTGGTTTTTAGGTAATGTACAAACCTTTAAACTTTCGTTTAAAGCTATTCAGTAGAATCGAACCATAGGAAGAGGATTTGTACACAATCGCAAATTCTCAGAACCACTAAAAAAAATTTTTTTCAACTTTTTTGTTCTAACAGTAAATACATCAACTTCTGCATTGACCTTACAAATGTTTTTGTTGTGTGTTTTTTTAATGGTGGGTGGTACAAGTCATGTTTTGACTAAACTGTATTTTCCATTCAGGTGATCTCTGACTCATGTTTTTGTGACTGAGAGAGAAAAGTGCATTACGTTTTCTTCTATAGTAACTGCTTTGATTTACAAAAATTGTCAATTTTGCAATTTGCCTGAACTATAAACACGAGATTGTTGTAATTTGTGCAAAAATACATACTTTTTTTTTAATTGTAATTCCTAAGGAATTTTTGTTTGCCGAACGAGCCTCTTGAGTTTTTTTTTTATAAATATGAAGTATGATTGAGGCTTAAGTCCTTTAATAAAAAAGGTATAACAAAATTTTTTTACGTGTAAGGCACAATCTGGTCTGAAGTGATTTAACACAGAATTATAGAACATTATTTTTTTCCTAACACATATCTTTAACAAATTTGAAATGAAAATTGCGAGAGATAATGTAATTTAAAAAAGTGGGTAGGCAGTTACAAAAATTTAATAGAATTTGGGCATTGCAGAGCAGAGAACTGAATAAAGTTGAATCATCTTAATTTTCTTATAAAATGGCATGAGTAATAAATGATAAGAATGATAAATAGTCATTTCATTCGTGACAAGGGAGGGTTATATTTGTTAGTAAAAATGTGGTAAAATAATATTTTGACTTTTAATAACAATACGATAGTTTTATCTTTTTTATTATTGTTTCAAATCTACCTAGTACTAGGTACACTAAAAAAGTTTAAAGTATAACATTCTTTAACTATTTTTTGAACAAACTAATCGATGTATGATAAATGAGAAACCTTTGTAATCAAAAACAAAATTTTTCGATTTTCTTTTCTTTCGTCCCGCAAAATTTTATTTTTTTTAAAATAGTGGAAATACTATAGTGGAGCTCCTCTATAGCGAGTCAAAAATCGGCTATAACGAGTAAATCGTCTGGTCCCTTGCCGTTTTGTATACTACTTTATGTAAAATTTCCCCTTTATAGCGAGTATTTTTCTGGAATTGAGGTGGATATAACAAAACTTTATACCCAAGATCGGTAATAACGAGAAATTCTGAGAAATTTCAGAAACAGATTGGTTATAACGAGAGTTCTTAGAAGAAATAAAAATCCTGCGGGTCTCCATTACGTAGTGTGTATCAGAATTTTTTTGGAAATGTTGTTTTTGTGCGTTATAGTCTTATTTTTCTCACTTTCTCAGTCTTGAATAACTTTTAAAGCAGAGAACACTTCGTCTTTCTGTATCAATATGTCGTGCTCGAAAAGAAAAACGTTTTCCATCAAAGAAAAAATATCAATAAAAACAGAGTTCGAAAGTTTTTTTAAAAAAAGCTGTAATCTGCAAAGAGAAAAATTAAGCCAATTCTACATTAGCAAGATTACGAGTTCAACTGGTGAGTTTTCGTCAAAAGTGAAGAAGTACATACTGCTAAAAATCCTAAATTAGATAAAGCCGTTCTTAAATGGTCCAAAGTCAATCGCGAATCCAATGTGCCTATAAGTGGGGCCAAGTTAAAAGAAAAAGCAGAACAATTTGCAGAAAAAATTGGGGATTCTCTAGAGATGATTTTTTTTTGTTATTGGGTGCTTCCACCTAACCTTGATGTCTTTTACTATAGCTTTGTACAATTGGAAAGTGCAATTGATAAGATAAAAATGCTTCATTACAAAAAACAAACAAAAATTACAGATTTTTTTCATAAATATTGTTTTAAACTTCTATATTCGTATTTAATAAAATAATTTGCATAGTACATGTTTAAAAACTTTTATTGATCATGACTCTTTATAGCGAAAATCGGTTATAACAAGCAAATACGTTGGCCCCTTGAGTTCTCGTTATAGAGGGGTTCTACTGTTTTATATTTTATATAATTTTTATAAACAATTCATCTAAAAAAATAAAAATCAAAGTTTTTTAAGACGAACACATTTTTATAGCACTTTATTTTTTATTAATTATCTTTTTCTGAAGCCAAAAAATACACTCATGGTTCCATATACCTATTTTTCTAGGTTTTACCTACATAAAATTTGTTGATCTTCATAGGACCTTATTATACCACTTTGGCAGCAATTGAAATCTTAATTTGACAGCATAGAGTACATATAAAAAAATACATACATTTGAAATTCAATTTTCACAATTTTATAGTCAATTGTCATTCGTTTTTGAGGGGCGACCACTGGCATAGAGCCGTCTCACCAATTATAAGTTAAAACAAACTGCTGGTTTAAACCTAACAGAAAATTAGATTTTTTTTTGATTATTGTGATTCCCAAAATCCAACCTTTAAAAAAATACTCGCATTTTAGTTCTGATTTTTTTCAAACGGTTAGAATATTTGGGACCGTCGCTAGTCGACGTAATCAATTCTAAAGAAGTTTACACATTTCTTTTCTATTCAATATTCATTGAACTCTCTTGTAAATTATAGTTTAGTAGTTTGGTAATTACAAGGGTTTGAGAGATTTTTTTTATTTTACCATAAATTATTTTTACTACTAATTTATTAGTACTTATAACCTATTAATTGTTGTTGTATTTTGCAATAGTTTTGCAAATCGTATTCAATAAAAAGCAATTAGTGAAAATTATACGATAAGCCTTTGTATGCACACAAAACAGTCTCGTTTATTGCTTGTTAGAACAAAAATTTAATGGTTTCAAATTAAGAAAATATAAAAATTATTGTGTAGTAACGTTTGCCTACAATTTATGACTTTATTTAGTAACGAAAGAATTTTTTTGTGTCGTGTCCAGCCTCCAATCCTAGAAAACAATGTTTTGCGTCATGTTTATGCCATTCTCTTCTTATAACCTCAGGTGTTTTAGTTTGCAAAAATAGTGACATAAGCAGAACATCAGAGTTTATTGCCACTTCTAACATGAGTAATAAAAATGCTTTTAATCCCAACTTCTTGATAAAAAATGGAAATTGGCTCAGTGTTATTACACTTTTCTGTCACTCAACAGACGAATATCACTGTTAGATATTTAATATGTTTTGGATTTTACAATTAAACAACGCATAATAACGCATATGTAATTTTGTAACCATTTATACAATACATAAAAGTGTAGTTTTATAACAGTTTAAATATTACATCCAGTGTTTTTGGTATCTCAATAAATTTAAAGAATCATTGGTAAAATTGTCATTGACATGATTTATGTTGTGTGAGGTCTTTCTTGACTCTATAAACATCGGCGGTAACTATTTTCAGTTCATAGATTTGTTTCTTGCTCGGAAACTATAACTAAGTTTATGTTCTGCACGTGAAGATTGGCGATTGCTTGGAAACTCAACTAAAGCACGCACAAGTTGTCATTATCTTTATTTTTTATATATTTGAAGCGTCACCAGATCATGGAAAAAATATCTATTCCTTCACACATTTACAGACAGAATAGACGGCTCGATGTAAAAAGACCCAAGCTTCATTAAAGTATAAAGTTTCACGAGATAGTGCATTATTATATGTACGGTTTAATCAGAGAAGTTTTTTGCAACTTTCCGTTATCAAGTATTGATAATAATACACACTTTTAGCATATTAATAATGGTGTGAACATATTTGTAATGCGATCTTGTTTGTTTATGTTCCCGGGTGAGGAATTATGTGTAGATTAAAAAATAGTGACTCATATTCTAGCACTGATTCTAACATAATAGAAAAGATTGGAAAAATCTATTAAGAACACAATTTTTTTTGTCTAGTGTTTCGCTTGTTTCAGAAATATTTCTTTCGTATTTGAGCAATATTATTGTTATTGTGTTTTATTTATAGTAAATGTTATTGAAACAAAAGTTGTATTTATAAACATTACATGAAAAAATATATAGTGGTTTCAGAAATGAAGAAGTCGTCAATTCAAACAAAAAAAGTTTCAATTTTTGAATTTCTGCTTGTTTTAAATACCTAATTTTGATTTGAGGTATTTACTCGAAATAATTGCCGTGCTATAATCAAAATCGTATTATTTTAAAAAACGAAACAAACATTTTATTATATCTTAAAATGATACTAAACTCGCGTGAGCCAGCAAATCGGGACTTGATAGCAAAATCTCTTGTTGTTTTTTAAGAAGCGCCTTTCTTATTTTAGACAGATTATTCAAATCTCTAGCAAAAAGTAATCTTTTCGCTTAAATAAAAGTCGATAAACTTCTGAACTCCATTATCATAAATTTGATAAATGTTTGTAAGTTTCCTCACAAATAATAAAATAATAAAACGAAACATGTCTTTGTTTTTGACCTGCAGATCGTGGCATAGCATTTAACGGTTTTGTGATCTTTAAGATAAATATTCTAGATTATATCATTAAGTTTTTTTATAATACAAATTAGTCAAATTTTTTCCGGGCTATCTATACTGAAATTACTACTTCAGATTTCTAGTTGATGAATGAAACTTTGGAAAATGAATAATTCCTTGTATTTTTAGTACATATTTTTTACAAATACATATCATCAAATCTAGCTGATTTTGTAATTTCTGTTCTCTTATCTGTTTTTAATTCAGCAGTGTTTTTACATTACCATAAAAATCAACTTGAATGACTTTTCTTATCAGGAAGGTTTGTTTTTAAGCACGGAATCATAATCATACCAAATAGAATTACTAAGGTCAATGCGTTAGGACCAAAAAAGTTTTAATTTTAGAAATCTAAAAAAATGATTTTTTCTATATAAAGATTGGAATCCATAGAATTTTTAAAGAAAAATTCTCAAATATTAACGACTAATTTATTCGCAACTTTTTTAAGAAATGAAAGAATTTTGCATTAAAAAATATTTAAAAGAAGCTTCGAACAAGTTTTGTTCTCAGGTGCTACATGTTTCATCTGTAGTATGTCATGCTTTTGAATATTGGGAGCAGCATTCTAAGAAAATAGATGTTCTACAGAATTTAAAATGTCGATGTCACTGTCCGATGTCACCGCCCAGAGTTAACATTTTTTTTGTTATAATAATTCCTCAAATTATAAAACAAACATTAATTTTTAACAAGACAATTCTTCTATTTTATTACTTAATAAAATATAAATTTTGACTACAATTAAAACTAGTTTTAGACAATTGAATCAAGAAACAATACCTAGAATTACAATAAAAGAAAGTTACAACAAATCTATTTATGTAAAGGATAAAAATATCTCAAAAATTGCAATGCAAGTTTGTATGTTATTTTATTGCAGAGTGGTAAAACGTGCTTCATCACAGTTCGCATTAAAACAATGTAAAAAACACCTCTTGTTATCGCTGCGTCTTATTTTAAATTTGGGCGCAATCTTTCGCAATTTGTATTCTGATCAATCATTCAAATTTGATTTATAGTTCATAAATCAGTAATTTAAAAATGATGAAAATATTTTCTTTGTATTTCTGTTTTTCACTTTATAAAGTATCAGTTTTATTCTCTCCACAATTTTGCAGAGCTAAAACTCTATCATAAATACATTCAGTATTGTGATCTAGTTTTCTAGTTCCTATTTTGTTGATGTTTATATTTTTTCTTTAAGTGGGTCAACGTAAATGCAAAGTTGCCTTCATAATAATTTACAATGTAACTAGTCATCACATTTGTCTATTTAGTAACGATCAAGATGTCGTAATATTTTCTGTTGCTACATAAACTTTTTCTTGCAAGTCAATTTTAATTTTTTTGGTACCTTCCAAATAATACGTTGTACTTCAATTTGCAAATGTAACAATTTCAGTAGAGGTTAAAAGCTATCACTATCTTTGGTATATTCGTCGAATTTCTTAATCTTGCTTGTTATGAAATGAAAGACTTACGGTTTTTGATAAGTAATCATCGCAATCAGTTAAAATGATTAAAGAAGAGTTTCCAGGGCCGTAACCAGGATTTTATTTCGGAGGGGTTTCTTGTTGGTTCATGAAAATGAAATGAAAGAAGGCGGATTGAAAAGCAAGCTCATCTCTAAGTACACGTTTTTATTTTAAATTGAAATAAGAGATCCTAATTAAACATAAAAAAATACAAACTGACTCACAAAGTAACAAAAAATAAAATAAATTTTTAATACTCATAAAACTATACAGGTGTTCCGTTTTTATTGTTACAAATTTAAACAGGAGATAGAATATTCATTTTTAAAACAAAAATTTTCTATGAACTATCTCGAAAAATGCTACGCAAGGAGTGCGTCTTTTAATAGGTTTTTTCCAATATTTCTGAAATCATTTTAGAAAAATATTTCTAAATTTGGTACAGATAATAACTTTTATACACCTAAACAAGTACAAAGATAAAATGTTGAAATTTTTAATTAGGGTTTAGGGTAAAAAGTACTCTATTTTGCCTGTGGTTTTCTTGCCACTTTCAGCAACAAAATTTCATAGTTTTTTTAAAAATTAAAAATTAAATTTGTGCCTCTGATTAAAAATTTGTTATTTGGCATTTGTTTAGGTGTACATATAAAGGTTATCAGCTGTACCAAATTTTGTAATTTTATCTCTTCTGAAATACATATTAGGAAAAACCCTTTAAAAAACCTACCATTTTAGGGGGTGTAGTCCCTTTCATAGCATTTTTTGAAACATGTTTATAAGAAACTTTTGTCTTAAAATTAAATATTCTATCTATTTAAATTTGTAC